TGTAACAATATAGCAATCAGATGTAAATACAGATATGGCAAATATATGAGAGAGCGTACTCTCTAATGCTATTACGACCTCAGCTTACTAATGTCAAATGTCCTACTTTATCACCTCACTCAAATTCACGACAGTTTCAAGACTAAAATCGTTTCAAACGATATGATGAAGACCACACAACTACATTTAACTGTTGCAACAGAACGATATTGTTGCATTGTTTTTCACGACGGTTACGTAATTACATAAAGCGACTGAAAAGTTTTGCCCCTAGATGAACTCATGTAAGGTAAGAAACTTTAAATTTTCGGGTGGTTTTTTAAAGTTTTATGAAGATTGTAAAGAGATATTTTCATTCTAGGACGTTTCAATTAGTTTTGAGCTTTATTACATAGGAATTAACACAACAGACGAATGAATTGACTTGCAAAAAAACAGTTTTCGGTAAGTATATTGGACGTCGCCCTTCCAAGTTGAATATTATTAGACCTCACTAAATATGGAAATTTTTGTCAATCTTGCCGATCTCAGAATCACAGACTTCTCAGATCACTCCCATTAAAAACGTTTGTACTACTGTTAAATCATCAAGTCTGGTGGCTTTAATTACAATTCCAACTTCTCTAGCACCTCTCAGGTTCTCGATAAGAGCTTGACATTGATCAAGCACAAATATAGTGCCGCGGCTATATTGCACTGAATCTAGAAACTGTACTATAACACTAAGTTTGTGCAATATATAACATATCCCTCTTCCTCCCGTCTGTGGGTAACGAGTGTGAGTAAGCAAAACACTTCGACCAAAGAGGAAATTTTCCCTGCTATACATGTTATTATTTTAAATTATCATCAATAAATTCCTTTATGAAATCCTTATAAGTGACGTTTGCAAGGACTGATTTTCATTTTTCAAAGCTGCAACAAGCTATTTGCCGTCTTTTGAAAAAGCCAATACGTGTTTCCGCATCAATTGAAATCCAAAAATAACGGCGCTGTTTTGTGAAATAAGACTATATTTATCAGTTAAAACTGTTTCCTGTTGTCTGTTGCTACGGATGGCAAGTATAGACAAGCCGATTGAAATTTGCAAAGATTGGGCCAACTTTTGAAAGTTCTCAGTGCTATGCGTGCAGAAATCACCCTAAAAATTACTATAATAGTGTGCCCAGTAGAGGAATTTGTTTAGATCTTCTTCAAAACTCTGCAGTAGCATTTTGCGTATGGGTAATTGAGGCACTAGGTAACGACTTCAGCAATATAATTGACCTAAAACAGCAATATACTCGTGACATAACCCCGTAAAGTACTTTCGAGACTCGATTTACAGTTTTGTACAACCGGCGGCCGGGCTCGTGGATACAGCTCCACCATTACAGTGAGAACACTCAAGTGCTTTTGACACTTGATTCATAATTTTTTGTTACGAACATACAACTGGTAGATTCAAGGTCAAAGCCCCACTCAAACCCTCACTAAAGTCAGATCTTAAACAATTGCGGCTCTCGGGAACTAGAGAACAACTGAAGGTAACTTATTCTCTACTTCGTGTGTTGTTTGTTTAAGTCCAGCTACGCTAAGGTACAGACTATATTAAAATACACCGCCGATTTATAGACGTCATGAGTTGAGGTTTTTCAGATGATTATTTAGAATAAAGTATTCCTTTTTCGTTTAATGGACGTTTTTCAGTGGAGTACTTTGCTCATCTCCTTGACATGAGGGACGAGTAATTCACATGGTCAGAGTAACAGAAATGAAAAGAAATATGTAGCTATACAAAAAGCTAGAACACTAGTAATATGTAATAGAAGTTTTGCAACGGCTTAAAAGCGCCAATATTGTCCTTGTTTCGTTTAGTTATGTTCCTTACTAACCTGATGATTGGTAAGGCCGGAAAGTGTTCGTAAGCTAAACGAGTAGTCTGCAGTAACAGAAGGCAGAAGGAGAGAAGTCTTTCTGAATAGTTAGAAAATGAGGGCATACCCTCTTAAGTTATATCAATCGAAGAGAAGGGTCCTGTCCTCGTGAATGAACTTAAACGTACTTATGTGTCATGGTAAAACTAGGAGTAAAAATGGCTTGATGTTAGTCACTGAGAAAATACTACGTCCGAATGAACGTTTACAGCAATATGTACAATTGATTTAAAAATATGCCTTTAGCATGGTACTTTAAGGTGGCTTAGCACAGTTTGGTAGGTTGTGAATTCATTATTTTCACTATTGCAGGTATAAAGCTCAAATTTGGCATGGATAAAATATATTTATAAGGCATTACGTTTATTAGGTCAAACGTAACGTTTCTTTTGTTGCCATGGCAACATGGACGTTTTTAAACAAATGACAGTGATATTCATCTTACTAGCGATCATAGCACGCGTGTCTCGGCGAGCTCGTTCGCTCACGTTCCTACCGCGGTCGTGGAAACGCTAGGTACACAGGTTATCACCTGATCCCAAGGTAGACCGCACGAATACGAAGGATAGACCTATTCGGCTAACTCAATGTTGTACTCAATTCAAACCCTTTGGGAATAAAACGTTTTGTTTCAGGAATTTCCACATCATTTAAATGCGAATGCCACATTATAATGCAAATACAATACACAAAGAATCTTAACCCTGGGAGATTTGAATTGGGTACAACATTGACTTAGCCGAATAGTCTATCGCTTACATCGTTTACGCGTTGACTACTGGTTGATCCAGGCTCTGTGATAAAATTACAGTGTTTGTATATGGAGTAAAGTTACCATCCTAAAATTTGTCGGAAATACTAAATAAAAAGTTAGAGCAGTTAGAGTTGTTGTTGTCTTTAATGCTCACTCGCGTTTCGTGATAACTGCGCAAATTCTCCCTTCATACAATAAAATAGACAAAGTAGGCGGTAAAAGATGAATTCGCGGTCGCCATCGCTCACCACAAACACTTTACTCGTACTGTGGTACTATCACAGAGCCTGGGTTACCTGTGCGTTGACGGAAGGATCCTATCCCATGACGGAAGTAAAGTTATTAACACACGCAAGCGCCCGGAAAATCTCCCCCTCGGCCTCCCGAGGAAATGTGATGTACAGCTAATTGAGTACTGTAAATCCCCCACCCCACTACCCGTTCATCAACCCGACGATCATCTTTTTGTGTATTCCACCGGGGAATGCAGTCACGAGTTTGGCACTATTTGGAGCCATAACGGTTGGGCTGGTAAAGTACTGCCTTTTTGCAAGTAGACGCGGGAATCTATAGCGGACCTCTGGCCTAGCGCTCTATCATAGGTCAAAAAATATTGCAGGTCAGTGTACGATATTCACGAACTTAAATTGAAAATGAAACAAGGCAAGAGGCATTTCTGATTAGTATCGTTTTCTGGGGTAAGGATAGCATTGCTGACTTCTTGTTCACAGTACAGTGCCAGTGCATGCTAATCGGAAGTTTTAGGAAATCTCACATTAAATTCATTTCGAACAAATTTTCATTCTTTTCACTCGGCTGGTACTAGTCGTGTTTTCATGAACTGCTAGATGAATTGAATTTGTTCACCTGAACTGAATCTCGTAAACCAATATCCTCTCAAAAAAACGTTTTTGATGCGCATTTTTTAAACTACTTTAATCACCTCGCAGGTAAAGGTCACTGTCATTATTAATTTTTTATACATATTTGACATACCCTTATGCAGTTTAAGAGTCAACGTTTTTCTTTTTATTTTTATTCGATACTGTTTACAGTAGCGGATGGCGAGAAAAGCGATCGGTCAAGTGTTATTAACGTCGATATTTCCAAAATTCTCAAGTTTTCGAGTAGTTGAACGCCATGCTGCAGGATTAGAGAATTTTAAAGTTGTCGCAAAAATGTAACGTTATGGGGTGTTTAACTTGTTACATGAACGGTTCCGGATTATCGATATTTGTATTCCTTGATTTAAAAAATGCATCTCCGTAGCAGCGCAAGGTAAAAATTGAAACCACGGCATCATGAAATCTCTGTAGAATGTGGTGCAAAGTTGTTTGATCTCAGAGTGGGAGCTTTACGAGTGAATTTAGTTGAATGCATCCATGTGGAAGACCGCTGCTATTCCTTACATGGCAGAGCAATGGGCATTACACATTATTTTAAGTCACGTGCACATCCCAATACTCCTATTGATTCTTGATGCTTTCGGCTTTACTCTACATACCAACGCATTTCGAGTAATCCCTGCGCAAGGTCGCAAGTGATCTTGATACAGCTGCACATTTCTTCTTTATTATATCTCGCTAAAGGAATTACGAGGTAACACGCCTTCATCCCTTTACGTTTAGCTTCGGTTAAGGTAAATGTCCGAATTCTCCTCTCAACATTCCTGTAGCCGACTTGCACAAAGCGTTCATTTTTTCACACGGTGCAATTTTTAATTTTCTTAAACCAGTGCAAGCCGAAAGTGGTTCCATGTAAAGACCGGAACTCCGTCCTCAATACTTGGTCCGATTTGTCCTGAATGCAAAATAAAAAATCTTGGGGGTTCTGTTTGTGGCTTTTCAAAGCTCTATGTGACTGAAATGCTTTACTAAACTCAATTGCCACTTAGCCATAATTGTTTCCAAAATTCTCTAATTCGTTAACCGCAAAACTCCTACTTGAGATTGTTACATTATTGCAAATGTGTTACATTTTTTTTCTACTTAATATCTCCGCGACGCTTAAGACTGATAAATAGATGCTCGGGCAGTTTGGCACGATAACTTAAACGCTGCTAAAAACTATAAATTATATACCCTGAATTTCATTCTTCCTGACCTTATAAAACATATTTTCATCGTCTTAAAGGATGCAAAGTCTTAGAAACCCAAATTCCTATGCCATGCTCTGGCTAATTATACGATAATTCGTGAAAACCAGCTTTTAAAACAACACATTGAGAACGAATTTGCAGTATTTAGCGTCAGCTCAAAATAAACCCAAATTCCTTTGATTAACGAGCTTTCCCGAAGCAATATTGAAAGTTGTATTCGGTGAAGCCATGGGTGAAATATACACAGTTTTAAAGTTCCCCATTGGTCTTCAGTACCAGAGCACCATTTAGACACAATGGATGTCATAGCCCCTCATGACAGTGGTATCATATCAGAGTTGACACTGTAAACTGCTGTATCTCAGTCCATGCTGTAGGGGGTTAATCGCCTCAATAAAGCGTGTTAGCTTGCTTATAGATGCCAGTGTATTTCGTACGTGGGATGAAACACAGTCGTGCCTGGATAACAGCTCCAGTTAGAGAGAGTAACTTTCCGTTTTGTTAGCTTTCTTCAGCATTTGCAAAATCGTGGGTGACTATATATAGGTGAGTACAAATTGGTACAAATAAGCCTTTCTAATATCTTGAGTGTTTTTTATCGCGACTAGCAGATACATCTTCACGTTTCTCTCTCTTTTTTGTACCCTTAACGTAGTTTCGCAGTTGATAGCTAGTGCGGTTACAGATAGAGAGGGCTGATTTAGATTAAGCCTCTCTTGGTTCGAAACTGCAGATAATATTGTTTGCCCTCTAAATTCGTACAAAGTTCAGTTACTTAAGTGAGTCTTGCGCCGTGCGTTCCGCTACGTTATTTCACGCCATATGCTAGTGGATCATGAAAAAACGGAAAGAACAACGCCCTGTCGATGCAGGCTTTAAAAGGACACACCGGAGACTCCTTCTAAAGATTTTTGTTGGCTTTCAAAGACTACAAAGGTGGAACTTGAATTTGTACGTACTTGCTTCATAACGAATGGCAAAAGGATCCGAATTTTTCGCCCCCACACGAAGGCACTGTTAAGAAATGCACGTAATTATTGCTCATTGTCGATTTGCTTTATTACCAGTCACAAGAAAAACGAACGATATGCTAAGCTCTTGGGTAGCGCGTTTGATTCGGGCGCATCCAAACTGAACGCATGATGGCTGCATGCGTGGTTGCAAGGACTTGGCGTCAATCTAGGTCAACAGTAGCTATTGGGTAAATCTAATTTACAATTGTCAGTCTCTTTCGAGAGTAATCCAAACTTTATTAAATCAGTACAGTGGCAGATAAACCCTAGAAGCAAAACTGACTTTACGAAATTAATTACAGAAACTTTGGTCAAGTCGAAGAGATTGTAAACAATATTTGCTCCAACACTTTCATGACCTCTTGGAGGAGGCTTAACACAGAGTCAATCACGTCCCTTTTGAATCACTACAGTTGATTATCATATGTATTGGTACTCCGCGCATAGCTATCGTTTCATATAAAGAAGTGCTAATAGGTGTTTTATTCAAACATAAACACTCGTTACCTTATCTTTCGATCTTAGACAAATACCCGTTCACCACGACTGACTTCATTTGAGTTAACTAGATTGACAATGGGAATTACTGTTTAGTTTGCACGCGGATCGTGGAGCAAACGGTTTTAAACATGTTGAAACGGAGTGACTGACAGGTTGCGCATTGACTCTCCAGTTTTTAAGAGTGCAAAAACACAACGCTGCCAAGTTTTTTAACACCTGACTAACAAAAACAAAGAAAACGCAATAACTAGAAGCGGACCTGAGTTCTTTGGTAGCGAAAGCCGGAACCATTTTGCTTCATTGTTTGCAGGATTTTTTTCAGAGTTATTGAACACCTAGGACAAGTAGCTCTGACTCTTACTGCTTATAAGTTTTTATTGAATGTTAGCCGATCTTATTTTCTTATAACCTTTTCCTTGTCAAACACAACGACTAAGAGTACAACAGCTGTTGTAGACTGTATTCTGGATTGCCTTCAGGTGATTGCTTACACTCGTGATGAATTACACTGCCTTTTGTTGTTGATTCCTCTTTTTGGCACGGCTTCACCCTCAGTTTTTTAGTCGTGAGAGCCAAAAGGTGTATTGCTTCATGTCATTTGTTTTAGGTATATAGGACATGCAAGACAGTTTTCTCAGAGGAGACAAAAAAACTTAGATATTCCGCCTATATTGTAACACTCGGAAAACTTGCAGGAAAGTTCATTTCCCTCGTTACATCTAAGACAGCCGCCGTCGGAAAAACTATCGTGCCTCATGTGACAAAGGAACGAACTTCAGGGAACACTACACTTCGGATATTGGCACGAGGAAGCTCATATCGTAATTGCTAATTATTTTTTATCCCAGACTGTTTGAAACTATAGTACTGAGAAGGTTTATACATTCCGCGGCAATAAAACGTTTAGCAACTATGTAATTAACGTGTTGCACTTCCCCGAAACAAAAATATTTCAGTACTTTGCGGGGTTTTCCTGTTCTAATTATCCCAAGAAGTTATTGTTTTGCTTTCTTTTGTTTCGGGTACCTTAAGTGCAATTTAACAACTCTGGGGGCATTGTCCTTTTAATTTTGCTTTTTCATGGCGTTAAATCGGACCAACTTCAAGACAACTCGCCGGTTTGTTGTTAAGTAATTCCCAGTGGAAATTACCTTCGTGGGGGCTTGTGCAGACAAACTGCGAAACAATGTGTAATTATAAGCCGATCTTTGCTGCGAGTGAAAAAGACAAAGAAACAGACTTAACACACATTTCACCACCGTCATTCAATAAAAAAATCCATAGCTATTCTCTCCCAGGAGTTAACTTAAACGTGTCGGCACAGTTACAAGTTTGTCGACAAGGTAATGGTCTGTAGGCACGTGTTTGACGAGGCTGAAACATTTCAAGTTTTTTTTTTCCACTTTGAGAGACTGAGAAATAAGCTGAACGTTGTTGCAGGAATCTATTTAACATGTTTTGTGATCTTCCTTAGTTTGGGACAACATATGGGAGTTCGCATAAGGTGTATGGATAGGATATTACCCTTCTGTTTCGAAGAGCGTGAACATACCATGATCTTCTGGGAAAAGAATCTAATAATAGGGTGTAAAAAAGCGATAGATTTCATAGTTTAAATGACAAACATCTACCAGTTGCCGTTATAACGTTTGATAACAACTGTAATCGACCAAACAGGAAGTCATATAATTATGCGTACCTAAGGCTAACCGAGTGACGTAGAATGTCACTTGGCCTGATAGCTTCACATCATAAACCTGCAAACTTTAATTAAAAGATCCGGGCAATGTCTTGCATGTGTAAAGAATACTTTTGTACGTTGAATACAATTGTTTACCTTAGTTTACTTGACAGTTCATTTTGGCCCCCAGCGTGTTTGTGTTGTCGAATAATTGTAAATTAGTTGCTTTGTTCAAAGTCAACCTTTGAAGACAAAGTTAACTGGCCTTGGGAAGTGGGACGCTACGTTGTTTGAGCAGACAAACTGCCCAGTTTACGGTAAGATTACTTACGTTTCTGGAATTCTTTTAACACTCCATTCGTGTCATAAAAAGCACTACAACGCTATTGTAACGAGAAACTGTTCACTAACAACTAAACCTGTTTCGCAAAACGTCAGTTTCGTGCTTTCTTACAAACGGAGCTCACACAGCTAGTTTTGCGCGAATTTCGCGTGGCATTGACAACATTTAGCGACAGACGCGTCATTATTATATAGTACATTGCAGTCAACATAATGCGAGAAGCACCTTAAACTATGGAGACTTGCGTTCGGAATATTTGAGTAAGTGGAATCTGCTATTAACCCAGCCTTGATGTTTCGCCAAGATGATAGCGCGTACAATTAAAATAACTGAAGTCATCCGGCGCACATATCAGTGGATTGCCCTAGTCCTGTTTCAAGCTCAAAATCCTACCTGTTCTATGCGGAATCTTATCGTCATGTTAAATCGTTAAAAGAAATTCCTTGATATAGCATTTGGCAACCGCGTGTAGATGGTTAGTATACTGAACCACAGTTTATCTTGCAGTCAGCCTAGTATTCTTGACTCTGCTTCGCCTAAACAGAAAACACGTGAAAATTGACTAACTTGACATCGGTCATTTTTTTTTCTTTCCCTGACCTCCAAGCTTAGTAGCCGCACAATCAAAAGCAATGAAGCTATAAATCATTTTGCTGCTTGAGCTCTAGCTGAAGTTATTAATAATTATTAGACTGGTAGAACTTTTGAGCAAGTCGTGCCAAACTGTATTGCAAAAAGATTTTTCGGGCGTTGTTAGTATTCGATTCTCCAAGCACTAAGATCCAAAAGACCGCAACATGCTTGCCAAAACGTTTTCTAGTACCATAGTGTCGTGAGGCAAGGATCACTTAACGCTGTCCTCTTTCAGACCAGTAGGCTTCATTTTTCGTGACCCTACATGATTATTAACATAAGGTGCTTGCCACTTTTAAATATTATCTACAGGATAATAAACCTTACCACTCAATTCATCATTTTTGTGTGAAAAGTTTCGATTTTACATGATCCCAAACTAAAATCTTTCATCATGAACAATGTGTACACTGTCATGATGCACTCTATCCGATGTTCGTAATTTTCTATAAATATATATAAAAAAATATTGTTAGAGTCAAGACGTCCACAACAATATGTTTTTAATCCTGAACGGTGTTTCCGGCCTTCTTTCAGAATCAGACCTTTTAAAACCTGTAAAAATGAAGTGAACTTGAGTTTGTGGATTCAATTCTAAGGCGTGACCATTACGTAAAGTAAACGAAACTTTTCGCTGCTTCCTGGTTCAGTTTCTTTTGTTTTGCTTCAGAAAAAAAAATACATCATCTTGTTTTTATAATTAGCTACACTTAAAAGCTGAAACAGGTGAGAATGAGAGATTTTGCCCCCCAAGAATAAACGTAGTTTTCACTTAGATATAGTAAATGGATAATATAGAATGGAAAAAAATTCGGGTTAGGCTGAAATGTGTTCTCCAAAAGCTTTATCTTTGCTGTCTCGTGGGAAGTTTAAAAAAATATTTATAAATGCATGGGGTGTGGTTTTCTAATGGCATAGTTCATTGCAGGTTAGTTTATAAACGTAATTAAAAGTCATTAGATATTACTTGCACTAATGTTCTTAATTGAAGTATCACAGACGTGATTAGATAAACGCAGTAAGAAGAGAAATGGTGAACTTTTTGTGGAGGGTGCGTTTTCAAAACTTTTCAATGAACTTGAAACGGAAACTTGATTGCCGAAGAACCTAATAGTTCCCAGTGCGTACTCTCTGATTTTGGAGGAAAACTAAAGTACTGTTCAACGGATTTTCTTTCCGGAAGGATTACAAGCAGAATAGAAAAGTTGGAAACTTTGTACAAACTAACAGGCACAGCAGAAAATAATCTTCTGTAGCTATATTGCTAAAATGGTCAGGCCTTGAGATTTTATCCACGGAATCGAAAGAGAGGGTTATTTTGTTCAGCATAATAACAAATACTTTCGTCGGGAAAGTGCTGCTTAGTGCATGGCATAAATGATTTATTTCATGCATCGTCAAATTCAAAAGTTAGCCTTCAACCAACTTGTACAGCATAATACAAGACAAAGTACTGTTTAGGAGCTTTTATTTGGAAGATTACACCTAGGATTTCATTCATAAAGTGTAATGTAAATTCATGTTCATTGTCACAGGAAAGTATTGCCTCAATACAGCCACTATACCAACGAGCATATTCCGGCCTCACATCTTATAATCAGCGATCAACATCCTTATTCTCACGGGCTTTATAGTTGATCAAGTATTGGTAATATAAGGAGAAAATTGATCTTAGTCACTACGTCAGGGCTAAAGAGTCAAGGGCTTGTTCAGGGATATTAGTCAATACATGTCAAAGTTCATATTACTTTTCCTCTTAAGATATTGTTCTAATTAAACGCGGTCATGTATAATTTGTTTTCTTTTGAAAAGAACCCTTTCATTACCCATCAATAACGAGTTTTGACTTTTTATCGTAAGAAAACATTGCACAAACTCCATAAACCGTCCAGAGCAACCTTAGTTTAGCACAAGTGAGTTAAATCCAGTTATCGAACTGTCAGGCTATAAATTTCCTCCATTTATACTAGCCTCCCACTGAATCGAATATCAGTTATAGAGATTAGATTAAAACTATACCCCAGATGACGAAAGCTCACGGCAAGTTCATCGTTTTCTTAGATTTCTCGTACCGTGAAATTGTCTAGTCACTTTCGTATTACACCTAACCGGTGACTTTAATGATGATCGCGCCGTTTCAGGGGTTTCAATGATCAAAAGTAGATCAAATTTATTTTCCTCTTGAGAGAAGTTTAGTAAACGGAAATTTTGGGTTGTCGTGAGAATCACAATAATTAAGTTTTCACTTGGCACCTTTTTATAACCGCTGCGGCTCTTTAAGAATCCTTTTAATTCACTTTTAATAGCGTGTGTAATTATTGGCTAACTTCCGTTCTGAAAAGTTTAAATAGACCTCCTACTGCGTTCTTGTACTTACAGGCCTTTGTTTAACAACGGCAGCTGTTTATAAGTTTAGATGGCTGCTGTGAAGTACATTCAGGAGCCCCTCGCTTTAAACCGCGCCGATCAAACATCGTATAGACTTCTTTGGGCTCCTGGATAGAATACCATTAATTTGAGCCAAAAGCGCGAAGGCAGTAACTTGTCAAAAAGTTTGTTGTTTTTGCGCGATTCCTTCTTATTTTGCATAGCCGAAGACAGAAATTGTCGCCACTGAGCGTTGGGTACCGATTCCTTTCATAAAAACGCCTTCGGATCGTATTTGCGTGTGTTGTGTGTGAATTTCTTTTAAACAGTTGAAGCGATCGTTCGTGCACGCTGTTGACTGTTGTTAAATCGCCGCCTCGTTTCAAGCAGTGACCCTTTGATCTTCAAGCTGGGGGTTTGACATTCGGCGCGAGGCTTTTTGTGGAACGTAAGCAAATATTGGAAACGTGATACGACAATTATTTAATTTACTTTAGAGGGAAACAATATAAGCGTTATGATTTTTATTGCAAATTGCTTGAGGCGGCTTGGAATTCGCTGAGAATTTTTATGTGAAACAGCAGCAGTAGTGCGGTGAAAAGACCAAGCCCAGCACCTTTAAATTTGGTCCTTTGACGCATTGGCGAGGTAACTTTATGAAACGACTTAGTTTAAGTTGATGATAGCAAAAGACTGCGTGGCATATACTCGGTTGCTGGAAAGCCACTCGATTTTAAACTGACGGGAAGTGCTAATTCTTGAGAGTTAATGACCTTATCTCCTTAATCACTGGACAGCACTTTCCCACTTATCCTGAGATCCCATTTAGATAAATAAAATCATGCTATCAGGCCTCTTAATCATACTAACTCTCTTTTTGTCTCAGTTTACTGTGAAAGATGTTGATCGCTCGGCTATGCTGTGTATTCTTTGGGACAACGGTTTGTCTGGGACTACCGTCAACGTACGTGAAGAGCAATTCCAACTCAAAGCGTTCGACGGAACTGTTTCAAACAACAGAACAGGCCTTCTTGCAGAAGATGGGTATGAAAACGCGCCCCAACCCGAAGAAAGGATGGAAAGACAGAGTACCACAGTTTATCCTTGATTTGTATCACAATCATATCAATGACCCTGAGTGGATTTCCACGAATTTCAAACATAAGGGAAAATGGACCTCGGCTAACACGATCCGCGCATTTCAGCACGAAGGTAAGCTAATCTAAAAACACTTAAATGGTTGAAGCTCGGAGCAAGAACACGGAAAAACAAAAATATTGTTGCATGTCCCAAAATACACCTAGATAGCATATGTGTCAATAGCTTTTATTTAGATGATCGTACAAGAGGATTTAACAAGCTTAGGGTAAGAATTACATACGAATTACATGACGCAACTTCAACCGTGAGAATCAAGCGGAAACAAAACAATACTGACAAGAGCTAATATTTTGCCATGGAACCACTCCGGCTTTGCGACCATGAAATGGGAAACAAAGTAATTCGCGATCAGCCTTCCTTCTTAGGACGCGAGGGGAAAACGAACTTTTGCGTTCGCACTGAAAACAAAGAACGCCTGGCCCGGCACTCGTTGGGACCAATGCGAAGCGAGTCCACTTAATTTCTTCCTGAGCACTCCGTGAGAACAAGAAGTAGCACGATTCCCTTTACCCCCTGGCTTAAACCCTAATTTCGTGATGTTTTGCCAGTCACGTATTTCATGTCGCTTCGGTCATATGGCGAAGTGCTTCATTGAGTGGAATATGCGACCATTCATTTTTTTTTTCGGAAACTTTTGCATGACTTTGCTGTGACGCCGTTTATTGCAGTCAATACTTTCCCAAATGCCTTTTCAACATTCAGCCTCAGGGAGAATAGGTGTTAATAACTCCGATTATTTCTGTTTGTACAACAGGTGACCATCTGGCCACTACAGTGTCGCAATTGTCTCCGAACAGATGGAACCTCTTTTTCGACCTTTCGTCTGTACCAGATGTGGAAACCCTTACTGCTGCAGAGCTCCGGTTGACGTTTTCAACTGTAAAGAACGCTTCGAGGAACGCTATCGCAACTACGAAACAGCATCGTGTTAAAGTCTATCAAGTGCTTCTCCCAGGAACAGCTGGGCAACCTGGCCTGACACGATTAATAGAAACAAGACTAACATCCGCTAATGAAACTGACAACTTTGACATAAGACCTACTGTTCAACATTGGTCACAAAATCCCGGCGAAAATTTTGGCCTTGAAGTGCATTTGGACACTACTGGAGAATCTCCAGTCGTTCACTTGAACAATAACGGGAACGCTGCAGCAGAGAAAAAGCCTCTTCTGGTCACGTTCAGTCACGACGGAACGCAACACGTCTATCGCCGTCGTAAACGGCGAAGCGCGGGGAAAACGAAAGTTAAGAATGATCGCAATTTCTGTCAGAGACATCCTCTCTACGTTAACTTTGTGGAAGTTGGATGGAACGATTGGATTATGGCGCCGCCAGGTTATTCTGCTTTTTACTGCAGCGGCGAGTGCCCCTTCCCAATAGCGGATCACCTGAATACCACAAACCACGCCATCGTGCAGACCCTTATGAACAGTGTCAACGCTGATGACGTTCCACCAGCGTGTTGTGTGCCTACAACATTGGACCCAATAAGTATGTTGTATTTAAACGAACACGGTAAAGTTGTGCTTAAAAATTACCAAGATATGGTGGTGGATGGGTGTGGTTGCCGGTGAGCGAATTAGGAGAACACAACAGGGAGCCAGAATTCGGCCCGCAGTAATAGTCTTCTGCTACTACTGACTATACGGCCTCTAGTGCCTCTATCTTTGGACTCAAGGCAGTCAATTTTACCCCGAAAGGTCTCAACGCGAAAGGCAGGACCACTCGACACTTGGTAGACGATATAGCCTACTGACAGACGACTAAAAAGCCCTTTTATACAGGTGTATGTATATCAGACATTTTACCAAAAGCGGACACAGTCAATCAAATTGATCATGCACCTCTCGGAAAAATTATTCATAGTCTAGAAACCGTGTTGTACATAGAGACTGTCAACTATACATTAATATGTTGTTGACAAATTAAAAAAAGCCAGCAGCGAAAGATAGTAGAACTTTGATCTCTTAGGTCAAAGATAAATTAAAATACCTATAATTGTATCTGAAATGGTTTTATCCATTCGTTTTATATATCTACAGCAGGATTTATATAAAACTTAGTAATAAACAAAATTTATTCCCTTGGTAAAATTGTTTTCGGAAAACTGAAAGAAATAATGAAAGAGACCTCAGTTTTCTGAGTGTACAGAAAGTTTCGTACATAAAATTAAGTATTAAACATGTTGAATGCTACTAATTGTCCGATACAACCGACATGAAATATTACCTATCAGGCGTTCTAAACATCTCAAATTATCCAGATAAAGGGCTATTGATTGTAATTTCAGTGTTGTTTCGTTTTCTTTCTTCTCTTTATTTTTACCATTTCATTTAACCATTAATCTGGTACTTGCGTAGTGGGTCGTTCTATTCTATGCAGGAAATCAGTTAACCCTTTTAATCATTTAACTTTAAAGGCCTGCAATGTTGTAGTTACTTTTAAGTCTGGGCAATGTGACCAATCAAAAGAAACGTCTTCAGCAGTTTTTTTCGTCAAGACTGATGCTATTTATTATATTCAGTATATTTACAAAAAAATGGGATTTTCAATCCTGGTCAGTGTGCAATAAATACTGAATGAAAGAAAGGAGTAATAGCGACAGTATTAACATGAAACTCGTTTTCTTTGCAAGGAAGGGGCTCAGGGCGACGTGCCAGTGCGAGTTAACTTCAGTAATTACTTTTACTGTTTGCATTTAGGAGCTGACGGCACGCAATCAGGTCAACCTAACGACAGATCTCTGCCATTAGAGTTAAAATAAAGGTCACCAGATTAAAAAGTTAACTGACGTAATGCACTTTATATTTAAGAGACGCAAAAAAACTCTTATTTTCAAGAGTTTAAAGGATGTTTCCTATTCGCTAGTGGCCGGTAGTTTTCCTATTAAATCCTGTTATTTAATTTATACCAAAGTTTATAAACTTAATGTATAGTTTCCAAAATTTGTGCAAGTAACGATATATAAATAAATACGATGAACTGAGGCGGTTAAATAGTGGAGTTGGCATGTAGGCTCGAACCAAAGGGTATACGTTGTACACAGGGCTCAAAAAAATTCCCGTCCGGTATTTCCGGGACAGGTAGATCTTCTTGTTGGGCAAGTAACTTTTAAAGCTCACTTTCCCGAAGGGCAAATGTGAGAGCTGCTTGCCCAAAGGACAAGCTCGGGAAGTCAAATTTTTTCGAACCCTGGTAGATGGCTTCTGAAATTGTAAAGAATTTTCCCCACTCAGCTTAACAAGCACGACGGTGTTCAACTCTTGAGGTATACCAATGGGACTCTTAAATACCGCCATACCGACCAGAGATTTTCCAGCAGGCCCACTCTGTCAACGGTTTTTAATGGATAAACAGTCCTACAGCCTGGGTTTAATTTCAATTTTCTTATCTTCAAACACCCAAAAGCAGACGGTCGGATCGAAAAAACTGTTCCTTTTAAATCTTTAACTCTTTCTTTCTAATATATTGAAACCTGCTTAACCCCCAATTATAGTCAAATGTATGGCACAGGACCCCGTTGCTAACGGTTTCTCCTCGTTTTTCTAACGAAGGATTTTCGACCGTAATCTACCAACTAGATCAAGAGATCTACAAATGGCTCATTAGAATATAGGGCAAATAAGGTCGACTATAGGGTGTCCAACGCAAAAGCCAATATTTCAGTATAGCAGTCAAGGTCGCCTGAAGTTGCACGTGAGGAAATTGAATCAACGCCGACACCACATTTCCTCAGTGTTTTGGTGGTCTACATAAAAATGGAAATCTCTTCCATCATCATAGTACAATCATTGAACCTCAGACTATCTTGAATTTTTCATGGTAATTGGCTCTTCCTAAAGGGGTATTTTTTAAGGCCAAACAAAGGTCGTGCCACACCCAATTTAGGATAATTCTTATTTACCTTCCAGCATCCTGGCCCCTTGACCAGCGAGTTCCACCCTATCCTAAACTGGAGGGTGCCACGTGGATATTACTGTTTAAGGTGGATTCTGTGCCAAAGCCTACTTATTGCCTCTAACTATGCACAAAGTGCTCCTGTAGACTTTGAAGAAGATATCAAATGAATCTTATCAGAGAGCGCTAATCATAATAATGTTTTGGTGACTTATTTTTGGTATAGCAATGCAAATTAAAAACGGTGGCCTAATTTTTTTCACGTTTCAATCCGTAATAATCCTTGCTATCATGACTACCCATAGGAACAGATTACAGAGAACAGTCTCCATATAGTCTTATATAACAAAACTGAACTGTTAGTTTTGGAATTAACCCTTTCACTGCCAGAGAGGATGATGGAACTTTGTAAGGTAACTCTTACGTTTGAATCTGCGGACGAAATCCTATGATATGACCATTCAAATGAAAGCTTTCTACATGTACTTGCACATGGTGCTATCTGTTCTTCAAAATTTAACAAAATGAAATTTGGAAATTTGGTTGAATTTGCTTTTTGCTAAATTTGGCAGTAAAAGGATTAAACTGATGCGAAGACACGTTTTCGCTTTTTAAGAAGACAGCAGATAACGTGGCATTAATTCCTTTCACAAAAAAAAATTCTTTCCTTGTCAACGACACGTAGTAGTGTAAGATGAGATTATTCTCACGGGGGTGTAGGCAATCACTTTTAATTCATCAACCTTGGGGTCTTAGTTAACTGAATCCCACTGGAGGTCTCATAACTGAAAATTGAATCATTAAGAGAAAGAATTCTTATCCTATTCTTCGTTGTTTTAAAGTTGTTTTTAGCTGCACGAGAGAACGCTATCATTCTGTGGAATGCAATATAGTTAGCCTATGCGATAGCAGCAGTCTCGGTATCTTCAAATGGTGTCTCATGAAATTACGGCTATTAGCTCGTCAAATCTCTTATATATAGCTGGTGAATTCACTCATTACTGACAACGGTTGCCCTCATAAAACTCAGCTGTGGATTGTCACACTCTATAGCCACTTGAGTTAGCTGATGTTTTTAATTTAAAGTCTTTTCATTTGCTACATTCGTTCCCTATTAGGGATTCTCGTGCCCACTTTTAGGAGTTAATTTTCGGGCAATTTACTCTGTTGTTTGCGGCTTTTTATGGCCGTTTCATAACTTGGGGCTATTTGTACTTCATAGCACTGTTAGTAAGCGACTTTTAATTGCATCACCCGGTGCACTGACCCCTATGAACGTTCCCTTATATAGCAATAATAGCAATGAAAGATCGTTTTCAGAGTGTTTTTGCCGACTAAAGACGATTACAATTCCAGACACGTGCGGACTATTGATCACTTGATTTAATCCCAGACGTATTTACAACGAGTATGGGTGGGTATATCTATTTCCTGTTTAAAAGTGTCAAAAATATCTGTCATTTTTTTCTTTTTGCCCTCTACTGAAATTTCTGTAATGCTGTCCCGAACGGTGATCTCGGCGATGGGCTTGTTCACTGACACGAAGGAATTTTAATTTAACTCCACTGGCACCCCATGCAAAGAGTGACAATTTTCGCGGGAGGTACAGCGCATTGAATCCTGCGTTTTATCCAGCCTTGTTATTTTTGCAATTCATCAGTAATCATCACGTTGTATTTATTACTAAACAGAATGCATTTGAATAGGTGCTAAGTGGCCTTCACTCCACGCCTCATAACTAGAATAATCTTCATTATACGTTCTGTCAAAGATAAAAAGGGGTCGAGGGGTGGGTCAGATTAGAACGTCCGCGATAGTGGAATACTCCTCAATTTGCTGCAAAACAGGAAGATGTTGGCACGGAAAAAATTGACCGCAGAAAATAGACTTAGGAACATTTTGCATAACTAAGACATGTCGTGTACTTCAATTTTACCTACGCAACAGCAGGAACAACAAACAAGCTTTCAGTCGTGCTCCAGGGAAAAATTGAATATATGAATAGAATCCTATAATTACAACTAACACCCTGGTGAAACGAATGACATTAGTTGTACATGTTTTGCCGAGTCATGTACAAATACGAGTGTTATGTAGAAATAACACCATAATTCTAGTAAGCTTACACTCTTATCGTTTTCGATGTTTTTTTTTTTTTTTTTTTTTTTAATGCGATAACCACGTACAGTAATCAGGACATTGGCCCAGACGGAAAAATTTGTTATTTTTCCAGTCTTCTCATTCAGATTTTAGAGTTATGTACTATATTTCTGTGCAATTTAGGTAATACTGGTGGAAAAAAAAAAAAAAAGACTATTTGTACAAATTATAAGTTTCAGTTCCATGATACCAGTCTGGTAACTAAAATAGTCTATGTCCAAGAAAGTTCTTCTTTCGATTGTGTGATCCAAAATCAGGGACATTGTGATGTTTTCAAAATGCGTTAAAGGATTTCCCCACTTTTCTTATAAACCAGGTTTACAAGAAATGGGGCGGGGCAAACCAGAAACGCAGAAAACATCACAATATCCCTGATTTTGGAACTTTCTTGATGTTATTTGTTCCTCGAGCAGTCCGCTTCTGGAATGACCGTCTAGAATCTCTAGCTTGTAAAGTTTAAGGCAGAAGTCAAGAAGCTTTTTCTTGAAGCGTTATTTTTCTTAATCTTTAATGAAGTTTATGTATTTCAAACGTAATTTATCATTACACTTCTATCAGTTTGGACCAGTGAAGTTGGCTAAAATAGCCATTTTTATGGAATAAATAATAAAATGAAATTCTGGAATTTCAACTCCAACAGCGTGAACATTCAAATAAAAGCTACTAAGCAGTACTTTCCTGATGATTCTGTAGCTACATTTCAGACGAGTCTTAACTGTGCTGATTTTTCGGACGTGGTTGGACAAGAAAAATGGTGCTCGAGGACTCATGTAAAATAGAAAAAATAAATGCTAATAGATAAATACTGTTCGCTATGCCACAACTTGTGTTTTAAAACTTCATCGAAAATTTGCCCGCAAAAAACTGATTCCTGTTTGCTTATTTCCGACAAAGTTGTTGGCAACAATTTACTGATTTATAGCAGGAGTTCCGTTGTTGCTCGTGTAAAAAACAACTATAAGTTTGGAACACGCACAGGTTTTTTAAACAGATTATTTTAAAAAGATTGTTTACAAAAGTTATTCATCATGCTTGGGTAACCTGTGGTACACGCCTAGAAGACTGGCGACGAGCTCGGTTGCCAAGGAACGCCTTGAAAAGAACAACAACGAATTCCGCCAAAATGGCGGACGGAAGAATTTTACCGATCGTCAAAGAAAATACGTCGAAAAAAGGAAAACATAACAAGCGGATCGGATTCAAAAGCATTCATAAGCCTTTGGTGCTCCCTAGTTTGGAACTTAGCACGGTCGATGTGCAGTTGGTGAGCAGTTTGTTCTCCCACAAGCAGATTTGCAAGAAGGTCTGTGAATGGTTTACAAGTTGGAGGTCTTGGCAGCAAAGGATTTTACTGTGTGGTGTATCCGACAAATGTACCAAAAGTCAGCTACAGGCGTTAGTGACGACTCTCGAGCCGGTTTTTCACCGAGATTTCACGACAAGTCTCAAAGGAAGGTATCCAACAACTCTTATCAAAGCGGGGCTAGTTCGGACTGCGCCAAATATTCCGGCTAGCTTTTCCAAGGACGAACTAATGATCGTGCTGCAGCCTAAACGAACGCAAGAATTACACGAACCTCGGGTTGATTCGTCGAAAACAGTTGCAGAAGATATCGAGAGGTTCAATAGCGGGGGTGTGGATTCTTTGCAAATTGACCGTGAGTCGGACGATTTACAACAGAGTTTACAGGCCGTAAATATTGTACATGTAGATGAAGAGGAGTCTCTGAAAGACGCAGATTCTCCGTCTTTTTTCCGTGAGGATACAATGTTGTCGGCATCAGCTCATACTGTTCAACAAGCGCTCGACATGGAGGAAAATACCCGACACGAGCACGCTCCGCCGTTTATTCGGAGAGTTAGCACGCCACATTTTTTCCCCCAATTTGATCATCAACAGTTGGGGTTAATGAAAACTGCTCTCAGAACTGGTGATACTGATAAACTTTATGGGAGTGCACCAGTTACATTCAAACACGATAAGTGGTGGGAAGGACACAAAGGAGGACGCCTTATAAAGCCCCGCAGAAGTAAACTGTCTAAACACTTCAAGGAACAAATTGCTCAAATTCACCAGGTAGTACACATCTAGGGGGAGTTACTTTAGTAATGTTTGGGTAGGGATGTACTGCTGGGACCCAAGAACCCTAAGCCAATATTTTTCCAAGTTTGGCTTAAGTTTGCTCCTCTTATTGAGACTGAACTCCAAAAATCTCTCCCTATATGTATGCTACAGTCACTGTTTTCCAGAAATTACTAAGATCAATGCCTTCTTTGCTATTACCGGTAAACTGAGTTATGGGTGATTTGCTTATTTCGCTTTCTTAGTGTCAGTTCCCAGTTTCCTTAGTCTAAAATTTTCAGCCAATTGATCAGTTTCCTGTAAAATGGTACCCTATTCTGGACCTAAAATTACTGATTTTTGTACTCTATCCCCCTCTATCTAACCCCCTCCCCTCCCATGGAAGGGGAGTGGACTCCCAAAGTCAAATGTTTAAAGTATGCAGAATTTCAAACAATATTGTTCATACAAGAAAGCTGGGTAAGCTGGGTTACCATTTTATACAAGTTGGTGTGATGGTAAATAAAAGGCATGACAATAGCATACATGTATTTTGATAGCATTAGAAAATCATAATCTGTGTATAAAAGAAATATTCCATGTAATTAAATTACTATTTCATTCATGATTAGTGGCTGGATGATTGGCAGACACATGAGAGAGTGGAGCTTCTCTCTGAAGTAGTGAAGTGCTGTAACGATGAATGCCTTAATTTCTTTGCTCAGTGTCTATCACAAAGGTACATGCACCAGTATATACTTAATCCAAATAAGGCTGCTTTGGCAATTGGTCATTGGCAATTGGGTTTAGCCTGTGTCATATTAAAAACTCAGTTTAACCCCAGTCACAGAGGTCTGTAAAGCAGCACTGATATCCTAATGTTCTGGGCCCCCAATGGATGCAACAAATTATCAGAAAGATGTTTCAAATTTCCCTTCCACCAGATTAATTAATGGACAGTGGTATTTAAAACAGGCCAATCATGGCACATACTCAAATCCTGGTACACATGTGGGGGAGTAGAAACAAGGATTTTTGCACTGTTTTGCAGACGGACTTAACTAGAAGTTTAGTCCTGTCCTTGGCACAGACCATTGGGTGGTGGGCATAGAGAACTCACTGCAACAATAGTTTCCCAGTGAGCAATTCCAATGGAAGCCCAAATAAACCCCTTTTTGAGTCAACTATAATATGTTATTGCAGTTTTCTTTCATGTGAATTAATTCCATGATTCATGATACAGCAGAGGTAAAGATACTGGTGTACTGGTGGTAACTTGTAGAGACAGTCATATGACCAAGTGAATTGTTTTACATTGATAAGTTTATACAAGATTTTATTATCGAGAGGAGAGGAGCTCTGATATATAAATTGATTTCTCACCTGAATTTGAATCCCAGAGTGGCTGCTGTCAAGCTTCCCTGTGGTTCTTTTGGTCCAAATCTGTTTAAAAATGTAATATTGATTAAAAAATAATATAAATAATAAAATGATATTGATCAAAAACAAGTAAAAAACAATGCAGGCAAGAAAGAACATGACGTTTCGGTGTCATCTTGATGTCATTTTCAAGTTCAAAATGCTTGATAAACTGTCAAAAAAGTTTTTCTGGCTGATGATTAGCATATATGAAATATGCAAAAGTTACGCAAAAAGTTTTGCTCGAATTGAGTCTGGTTGCACATTTAGAGAGGGTGTTAGTTCCCTAATGGCGTCAAGATGACACTGAAACGTCATTCTTTCTTGCCCGCATTGTTTTTTACTTATTTTTGTATTACTATACCTTTGCTTAGTAAGAATATTGATTAAGTACTAAAAAAATCTGCCAACTTCTGTCCATTACTGCAAGAGTGAAAATTTGTAAGAAAAATTTGGGAAAATTATCAGGGAGGTAAGTCCTCATTTTTAGACCGCTGATAATGATAGTTTCTTCAAACTTTTTCAGGCTCAGAGATCGAACAGATTTAAACTGTGTCCCAGACCACATTTTGCTTAACATATTCTCATACCTAAATGTCAGAAGTTTATGTCAAAGTTCTCAGGTAAAGTTGACCTTGTACACATAATTTGTCCATTGATTGTAGTTGCCATTAGAGTGTTAAAATGTTTGTGCCTCCAGTAGTAGATGCCCAAAAGTGAAGGTATAGTGACAGAGCAGCTGGCACCTTGAGGTTGTCCAATAAACCAACAAGTTTATGCATGAAATTGTATGCAGTATTGTCTTCACATTACAGTACTGTACAAAAGCACAACAGTAAAGAACGAAGCAAAAAAAGAAAAATTTAACAAAGCCGAGCATAAATTATTTGTGAGAGTATTAGACAAGTATGGGCATCTCGTACTTGGGATCTGGGTTCAAGCCTTGCCATTGCATTGCTTCCTTTTTAAAAAAAATACTTGTTTCAATTTGCCTTACAAGTTTATCCAGGTGTATAAATGGGTGCTGGCAATATACATGTACATGTATAGCTGCCACAAGAACCCTGGGATAGACTACATGTAGCGTTCCATCGGTGCTTCATGAGACTGAAATTGATGTGGAAAAGCTCTGTGTGGGCCGCATTGTCTTGTTTCACTTAACAATAAATTTTTACACACCCAAGAAATAGACATTCACTTACAGTGTATGATTTTGGCCACTTCTGAAAGTACAAAATAAAGTTCAGTCGGTGAGGTTGACTGAAGAACCACGCAACTTACAACTTTTCAACTGGTTTCAAAATGCATAGATTATAAAATAATCATCGAGCATTGGCTGCATCAGATCTCTTTTCAATGTTAGTAAAATACTTACATTGGATTTTATTTACATTAGATTTAGAAGAAACTTGTCATAAACAAGAAAGTTTGCTTTGACTTAACTGTGTGCAATTCTTAATAATATAATTTGTGAAAAGTGAATTTATTTTTATTTGTTTTCAGGTTTGTTATAGGTGGAGGTTTTTAGCAAATAACAGCAGGCTTTGGAAGAACAAAATTGCTGCCTTAGGTGAGCTAATCTACTTGTTAAATAATAGTGCTATGGCTATGGATGAGAGCTGGAGTTGCTAAAAATAAATGGGAAAATACAACTACAGTTGTGTGTACTCATATGTAAAACGCCCAAGGCAAACCTATGTTAATTGATTAAGAGGTCAGTTTTGGAGAATGGCCTACTGACCGCTAAATACAGTTTGACCATTTGACCAACACGAGACTGCTCAAATAGAGATTCACTACTTAGTACTAGTTTGCTTTAATTATTAATACAAGTTTAGCTGCAGGAGCTCTTAGAATCTTTTAGCAAGTGTTGGTGTGTTTCAGATTGAAATGGCAATTAACGTTTGAAATGGCAGCTTTTCTAGAGGTAGTTGGGTTGTGAAATTTATTATAAGTACCTGTAGAAAAATTACCTAGAGCAATGAAGAGGACCATGCAACAACAAACTTGACCAACCAATGGCATCCACTCTGGCATCAGCTGTGGGATGTGAACACAGACCACATTGACAGGAGACGACTTCTTTCATCACTGTGCCACACCCCTTTCTCTAACTAAAGATAAAACAAAAGTATAAAGTCTTGATGTTAGCCTTCTGAATTTACCATGCAGATAACTACTGGTATCAGTACATTTTAAGATTATTTGGATTGTCTTTACAGGTGCAAGTGAAGGAGTTGTAGATTTAGCCAAACGAATTGAAATCCTTGGTCAAGGGCAAGCAGTAGACTGGAAACAGGCTTATAGAGAAGTGCATACCTTCTACAAGGATATACTCAAAATAAAGCTTATAGAAGAACAAAAAGAAAAAGGTACATATTATAATAACAGGCAAACAATGTGATGATGATGATGATGGCGATGATAATGTTTACATTGATGTTCCACCTTGAACAGTCAATAACACTGCAGGTTTCAGTGAAGGAAAGTTTCATCTAGAAAGGGATAACATTGCTTTTAGCAGGCTACAAGAGATATATTTTATTTTGATTAGTACCGTTAAAAAATACTAAAAAATATGCTGAGATTCCCTTTTTTCTTGACAGAGCTAAAACAAAAACTAGCGGCGGCAAGACAACAAAAGAGGAAGCTAAGATCATCTGGTAAGAAAGTTGATTTGAGTTATTGTTACTGCGATTTCGCGCATGTAAACTTGAAAATATTAAATTAACAGAAAATAACGAAAATTACCATTCTTCACCACGGCCCATAGAACAGGTTAGAGGAGATTTTAAAGCTCTTTCTTTCTTGTAATCGAGCGCCATCGAGCGCCATCATTTTGAAAAGTATCGCCCGCTGAATTAATCGACTGTGGGCTCAACTTTCGTGTTTAACCCAGTCTCCTACGCAGCTTTTTTTTCATTGGGGGAGAAATGAATGCGTGACGAACGAACCCCACGGGACGTCTGCGAGGAGGCTAAATATGTATAGAATGGCTTCCGAAGTCATTCCGTCGGGTGGCTAAATTAAAAAGTATAGTCAGTGCTCAAAAGAATGCGAATTTTGATAAACGTGAATTAAGCAGTGACGGATCATTTAAAATATGAAACACGATATTTTTTAGATGCAACAATAGCATGGCGCGCACACCCCCTTGAATCACAGTCCTATTCTTCCCCTTCAAATACCTTCACCAACTAAAGCTCCAAAGTTTATTCAATCTTTATCCTAATGGCGGCGTGATTTGTTTTTCAGAGCTGCCTCCTAAGCCGTCAGATAAAGATGATTCCAAGACTTTGATAAGTGGAGTCGGTGGGTGAATTTCTATTTTGAGTAACGAAATTTTCCAAGGTTAGCTCAGTTTGTTGTGAGGTAATTTTGCGGGTGAGAGGATTAGCCTTGGATATCAGCATAGAAGGCGCAGTGCGAATGTTCTGACTGTTCCGGCCATCTTGGTTTCAAATTCGAATCAAATGCAATGGTGTGAAAGGGGGGGGGGGGAACGCCCTGGTTTCGAGGTTGGGAGTTTACCACAATACCCAAATAACCACGATTCCTTCAAATTACGCACTTCCTTTAAAATAATTTGACGAGTTTCGGGGTTTTCCCGAAAACTTGTCCCTCCGAATTAAAGCCTTGTAAAGGCCCAGCTAAAGAAAAAAAACGGGGGTCTGAAAAAAGCGAAAGACGCCGGAGGGAGAGAAAGCGAAAGGCTAGAGACCTTTAACTTTTAAGTACCAAAATAAGTTTCTTTGTAGCAAAAGAAAAAAAGGTTCTGACTTCCTGAACCTCGCAAAAATAGAGATTGTTATACGCATCATGTGAAACGCAGGTGCCTCTTGTATCTCAGCCGGTGTGTATCTGGACTAGTTACCGGAAGGTCATAGGTTGGTCATGGTTCGGCTTCTGTTGGAAGAACGCGGATTTTATTTCCCAGTCGCAAGTGTCACCGACAGAAAAAAATAAAGGGATCCTTCTCTCATTACACGAATGTCGGGCACGTGCATGTTGTGAGAAAATAAATTTTAGGGAGAAAATGAACCTTTTGTTTTCGAAAAAAGATATCCTAATGGTTTAATACGGAAGGAAATCGCGATAAGCTATTGACCCGGGCTATTGAGAACGCTTCGTAAACAACCTGCGAAATTTCTTTTCGATTATTAAAATACTATGCAGTGATTTCTAAGTGATTCGTTGTATTGTAAAAAGTTTTCATTGTTTTTGGTACGAAAGGAAAATCATAAACAAGCTGCCTCCTTAATTAAACATCATTTAATTGTGGTACCTTGTTTAAGACAAGACGCCTTATTTTCTAATCCTGTTTAAGAGGAGGACCCAAATGTCGTACTCTTTTCTTTTTCTAAAAATTTTTGTTCCAGTTTGTATTAAACAGCGAGTTACTAAACTAAAAACATACACATACTTTTAATTTTCTTCTAGCCGCGCTTCAGACCGTGCCGTTGAGTTTTCTTTTCCTCTACCCACCCCCCCTCGTTTAAGGTACACTAGTTACACAGGTTTAAATCCGTGATAAAAGAGAGTTATCAGTTCTTAAAAAAAAACGTACTTTTCAAGTGGTTTATCTGTAACTTGGTCTAGAACAGAGTATTATTTACAGGAAAACTCTCATTTAAGGTAAAAACAATTTAAATAACAGAAGGCAATTGAAGCTTGGCAGGAAAAGAACGGAAATACAAAAGAAACACAGTTAACTGCGATAAGGTTGTCTTCCTTCCCTTATTCTTTTTTGTTGCCTGTCGCTCTTCCCCACCCCCCCCCCAAAAAAAAAAACACGCCTGATCGCAGGTTTTCTAAACAACGCCACGTGGCCCGTCTGGGGTAGGGTAGGGATATCGGTCTTCTACCTACAGTAATGAAGTTGCAGTAAGCAACTGGAGATGGCTTAGGCCCTCTTCACGGTAGGGAGTTTTGCCTTACTATGCGGCTGAATGAACAAGATCTGCATTAGGGGTAAAGTGACATTTCATAGATAACAACAACAGCCAAAAACCGTTTATTAGGCCGTCGTCGGCCACTTTATCTCTAGACCCTTGTATGGCCTAGCGTTAATACACTGTCTTTGTAAAAGGTTACAAAATTTAAAAAGAAAAAATGGCCAATTTCTTAACAGCAACTAAAATGTTACGGAACCGAGTAGAAATTTTGTTACACTATACTCAGAAGAACCAAGTTAGGAGCATTTGTTAAACAAGCTTGTTTCAAGACATGTTGAACGCTCCGCCGGTTTGGCAGACTTTGATCATTAAATAGAATTCTACGATCAGTTTAAGTTGTTTACATTATTCTTACACTCTGGGTTACTTCCGGGGGTGGGTTAGATATTCCCATTCATGAGCTTTACGAGATATTCTGCTCGAAAGGGGTTTGTTTCTTAAACAGGCTACCGGTGTAGAACAATTGGTAACCGGTTATTTCGCCCCCAAGTCATTTCGCCGCGGTTACTTAGCCCCGTATTTTCGAGTCATTTACCGCGCTTTAAATGTAATCAAGTTCCTCGTTCTTTAAACCATGAACCAAAAAAAGCACGCTTCAAATATGATATTCCTCGTTCTAGAGATGACTCGGGGGCGAAATGACCGGTAACCGAACAAGTTAGCTATTTTACGAGTTGAATTATAGAAAAGGAACTTGGAAAACTGCGACATAACGGTCTTTTAAAGGACGTAAAGATACACACCTGGCAGTTAAGGGTAAAAATGTGATATATGAGACGGGGACATATTGGTCGACAGGGGTGTATATATGAGTAAGGGTTTGGACTCAACGCGGAGCATCTGGCACGCACAAAACTTTTGCAGCTACCTCTCAATCGGGGACAACGGGGATTACTTAGACATGCTACGAAGATGGTGCAAACGCTTATTGTTCGAATGTTCGAACAGTTTTGTTCTACTGGCCCGCTTTCACGCACTTGTGTTTTTTGAGTCGTGTCATTGCCATTTAGCCTGCGAATACAGCCGTTTCTCCTTGCTCCTCGCTGTTAGAGACGTCCATGGCGGCGAGGAGCAAGAAGAAACGGCTGTATTCGCAGGCTAGATCCGATTTTGCTGGTTGCATTTTTCAGCGCTTTCCGTATTTGCTTGCTTCGCCTTTTTTTCAGTTTGTCCATTGTCGTCTCTCCCTGCCTTGCGCTTGGAGATAGCATTTGTCCTTCCAAAAAGTCGCTTCTCAATTTTTTCAGCTTGGGAGATGCTCATATTCCTGCACGTTGACTCGATTATTGCTACTCGAAACTGTCGCAATCTGACGGAGTAGATGACTGGATTTATCAAGGAATTCAAAAGCGACACTGTCGCTGTTAAAACGAATACTGTGTATAATGCGTTGAGTGATATTTCATAACGATACTTTGGTAAAGTCATTCTTAAAATGGCCAAAGGTGTATAACATATTAACAACGTTCCTACAACTATGGAAGTAATGTTTAGTGCCTTTTTGTCTTTTTCAAATTTTTCCCTCGCCTCTTTCGTAACTTGGTGAGCAGCAACATGCCGCTCGTGTCGATTGGTTTCGCGGTATACTGAAAGATGGCACAAAATGGTGAAGGAAACTATCACAATCTGACATGTAGTTTTCATAGTGAAATACAGAGATTCCCCAAAAACAATTGAAATCTGAAGAAATACGGCAAAAAGCCACGCCAATGTTGAAGCAAACAGTAAATGAGCATCGGTGACGATGGTGTCATAGATGAACGGGTGCTTAATCGCCAGATAACGCTCTGTGCTAATTAATGCCAAGTGGGTTAACGAAGCAGAAACCAGACAGCCCGTACAATGTATAAAAGCATCAGTCAATATACAGAACCCGCTTTTGCTTCGTACGACTGTTGTTATCATTGCAATGAATGTTGGTTGAAGAATCAAACCAACCATGAGGTCGGTGCTCGCAAGTAAGGCCAGTAGGATGTTGGACTTGTGAGCTCTCAGCCGAGGTTTCTTCTTCATTGCGATTATTAACAGTGCATTCAAGACAACGGTGATGGGAGAGGCGATCGCGTTAATGACTGCACTGAAGATAATTACAGCTTGTGTTGTGTAGGAAGGCTGGTGAAGTAGCCCGCCTATAGTATGAAATATGCATTCAGTCAGAACTGTCCCGTTAATTGACGTACTAGAATTCATATTTCATTTTCTTTCTTCCTTTCACCTTCTCCGTGTGTGTAACAACGGTGGACTTGTTAATGGTCGATCTTTTTTTTTTAGTTTGCTTTTTCGTAATTTTAGAAACACTCAAACGAGCCTTTTTTTGTTGTTAATACTCAAGACTACTGCAAAGATTTGTTTCGTCTATGTTTTGCTTTGTGCTGAGCACAACACTCTAGTCACGTCAGTTGTACGACTATGGTTTCCATTTCAATTGTACCTGTCGATTCAGGTTTAGGTCCGTGATAAAAAAATGTTATCAGTTCTTAAAAAAGAGCTTAGTTTTCAAGTGGTTTATCTGTAACTTGGTCTAGAATAGAGTATTATTTACAGGAAAAAGCTCTGATTTAAGGTAAAAACAATTTAAATAACATAGAATGGGAATTGAAGCTTGGCACGAAAAGAACGGAAATACAAAGTAAACACAGTTAACTGCGATAAGGTGGTCTTTGCTTCCCTTATTCTTTTTCGTTGCCTGTCGCCCTTCCCCGAAAAAAAACACGCCTGATCGCAGGTTATAAACACAGCAGCTTCGTCGACAATTTGTTTTCCAAACAACGTGGTCGTCTGGGTTAGGGTAGGGTTATCGATCTTCAGTCTACAGTGGAGTGGAAAAAGCAACTGAAGAGAGGGTCCCAATAGGTTTTTCGGGATACGTGGTTTCCCGTATTTGAAGCTCGGGATTCGGGATTTAAAAGGAAAATCAGGACGAGTTTCGGGATTGAAAGTATGCGCGGAAAGTGGGATGCCAAATATAACCCTCGAGATCACGGGATTGCACGATGGGTCGGGAGTATGGGATTGTAAAACCTTATTGAGTACCCTCTGAAGATGATCTAGGCCATCTTTACGGTAGTGGTTTTTGAGATTTTAATATATGCAACTGAACAAGATCTGAAGAAAGATTAGAGTCTTAAAAGAGTCTTAAGGATTCTATTCCCAGAAGTCTCGTATAGCAAGGCCCTGGAAGATGTGGGTATAAAAACACTCTTTCATCGACGCGAAGAATCATGTAGCACTCTGATTAAACAAATTGTAGAGAGCGATGGCGAGCATAAACTAGCTGGCCTGCTGCCCGCGCGAAACGACAATGAGAGATATAAGTGTAGGAGTAGGCCTATGTTTTCAATTCCACGTGTAAAAACAAAGAGGTTTAGAAATTCTTTTATAATGTACTATGCAGATAACCAACAATTGTAAATAGAACTTGTATACTAGATTTGATGTAATTTTATCATTATATAATGTTTTTTTTCTTATGATATAGTTAGGAATTTTTTTATGGTTAAATTTTTATCAACATGTACATAACACGAGTAATTCAGATTATAGCTGCTAGTTGTGATTTTGAATAAACGATTTATATATCTCTCTATCTATCCGTGATCTAGAGTGACATTTCGTAGATACCTACTAAACTGGGCCAAAAAACGTTTTCTGGTTTTCTTACGCCGTAGTAGGCCACTTAATCTTTAGTCCCTTATTTTGCCTAGCGTTAATACACTGTGTTTAAAATTACAAAATATGAAAAAGGAAAGAAGGAAAGAGGGCAACTACAATGTTACACAACCGAGTAGAAATTTTGATACACTGACACACTAAACCCAGAAGAACCATGTTAGGAACATAAAAATTCATCAAAATTTGACAAAATAAACGACATGGAATCAGAGCGGTGAATTTTGAAACAGCGTGAAGACGCCATCGTCGTTGTCGTCGTTACTTAAGCCTTTAACATTAACTAATGATTCGTTAAACAAGCTCGTTTTACATGTTGAACACTCCGTTTGGCATCAGTTTGACGATCAACATCGCAGTTGATTCTTTCAATAACGTCACAAATTTATGATATAGTTACTGTACTAACTTAAATTTGAAGGATCCCATTTTGCTGGTTGCATTTTTCAGCGTTGTCTGTGTTTGCTTGCTTCGCACTTTCATCAGTTGTTCCTTTGTGGTCTTGTACTGCCTCACGTTTGGAGATAGCATTTGTCCTTCCAAAAAGTCGTTTCTCAATTTGCTCGGCCTCGGTGACGTTTACATTCCTGCAAATCAACTCAATAATTGCTACGCGAAACTGTCGCAATCTGACGGAGTAGATGACCGGATTTATCAAGGAATTCAAAAGCGCCACTGTCGCTGTCAAAAAGAACACTGTGTATGCTGTGTTGAGTGATATTTCATAACGATACTTTGGTAAAGTCATTCTTGAAACAGTTAAAGGTGTATAACATATTAACAGCGTTCCTAGAACAATGGAAGTAATTTTTAATGCCTTCTTGTCTTTTTCAAATTTTTCCCTCGCCTCTTTCGTAACTTGGTGAGCAGCAACATGCCGCTGGTGTCGATTGGTTTCGCGGTATACTGAAAGATGGCACAAAATGGTGAAGGAAACTATCACAATCTGACATGTAGTTTTTATAGTGAAATACAGAGTTTCCCCAAAAACAATTGAAATCTGAAGAAATACGGAAAGAAGCCACGCCAATGTTGAAGCAAACAGTAAATGAGCTTCGGTTACGATAGTGTCGTAGATGAACGGGTGCTTAATCGCCAGATAGCGCTCCATGCTAATAAATGCCAAGTGGGTTAACGAAGCAGAAACCAGGCAGCCACCACAATGTCTAAAAGCGTCAGTCAATGTACAGAACCCGCTTTTGCTTTGTACGACTGTTGTTATTATTGCGATGAATGTTGGTTGAAGAATCAAACCAACCATGAGGTCGGTGGTCGCAAGTAAGGCCAGTAGGATGTTGGACTTGTGAGCTCTCAGCCGAGGTTTCCTCTTCGCTGCGATTATTAACAGCGCATTCAAGACAACGGTGATGGGAGAGGCGATAGCGTTAATGACTGCACTGAAGACGATTACAGCTTGTGTTGAGTAGGAAGGCTGGTGAAGTCGTCCGCCAAAGATAGTATGAAATATGCATTCAGTCAGAACTGTCCCATTAATTGACGTACTAGAATTCATATTTAGCTTTCTATTCTTCCTTTTACCTTCTCGGTGTGTGTAACAACGGTGGACTTGTTAGATGGTCGATCTTTTTTTTTTTTAGTTTGCTTTTTCGTAATGTTAGAAACACTCAAACGAGCCTTTTTTGTTGTTAATACTCAAGACTACTGCAAAGATTTGTTTCGTCTATGTTTTGCTTTGTGGTGAGCACAACACTCTAGTCACGTCAGTTGTACGACTATGGTTTCCATTTCAATTGTACCTGTCGATTTAGGTCCGTGATAAAAAGTGTTATCAGTTCTTAAAAAAGAGCGTAGTTTTCAAATGGTTTATCTGTAACTTGGTCTAGAATAGAGTATTATTTACAGGAAAAAGCTCTGATTTAAGGTAAAAACAATTTAAATAACATAGAATGGGAACTGAAGCTTGGCAGGAAAAGAACGGAAATACAAAGTAAACACAGTTAACTGCGATAAGGTGGTCTTTGCTTCCCGTATTCTTTTTCGTTGCCTGTCGCCCTTCCCCGAAAAAAACACGCCTGATCGCAGCTTATAAACACAGCAGCTTCGTCGACAATTTGTTTTCCAAACAACGTGGTCGTCTGGGTTAGGTAGGGTATCGATCTTCAGTCTACAGTGGCGTGGAAAAAGCAACTGAAGAGAGGGCCCCAATAGGTTTTTCGGGATACGTGATTTCCCGTATTTGAAGCTCGGGATTCGGGATTTAAAAGGAAAATCAGGACGAGTTTCGGGATTGAAAGTATGCGCGGGAAGTGGGATGCGAAATATAACCCTCGGGATCACGGGATTGCACGATGGGTCGGGATTATGGCATTGTAAAACCTTATTGAGTACCCTCTGAAGATGGTCTCGGCCATCTTTACGGTAGTGGTTTTTGAGATTTTAATATATGCAACTGAACAAGATCTGAATAAAGGTTAGAGTCTTAAAAGAGTCTTAAGGATTCTATTCCCAGAGGTCTCGTATAGCAAGGCCCTGGAAGATGCGGGCATAAAAACACTCTTTCATAGACGCGAGGAATTATGTAGCACTCTGTTTAAACAAATTGTAGAGAGCGATGGCGAGCATAAACTAGCTGGCCTGCTGCCCGCGCGAAATGACAATGAGAGATATAACTTTAGGAATAGGCGTATGTTTTCAATTCCACGTGTAAAAACAAAGAGGTGTAGAAATTCTTTTATAATACACTATGCAGATATATAATCAACAATTGTAAATAGAACTTTTATAATAGAATTTATGTAATTTTATCATTATATAATGTTTTTTTTTCTTATGATATAGTTAGGAATTCTTTTAAGGTTAAATTTTTATCAACGTGTACATAACACAAGTAATTCAGGTTATAGCTGCCAGTTGTGATTTTGAATAAACGATTTATATATCTCTCTATCTATCTATCTAGAGTGACATTTCATAGATACCAACTAAACTGGGCCAAAAAACGTTTCCTGGTTTTCTTAGCCCTGAGTGGCCCACTTAATCTTTAGTCCCTTATTTTGCCTAGCTTTAATACACTGTGTTTAAAATTACAAAATATGAAAAAAGAAAGAAGGAAAGAGGCCAACTACAATGTTACGCAACAGAGTAGAAATTTTGATACAGTGACACACTAAACCCAGAAGAACCATGTTAGGAACATAAAAAATCATCAAAATTTGACAAAATAAACGACATGGAATCAGAGCCATGAATTTTGAAACAGCGTGAAGACGCCATCGTCGTTGTCGTCGCTGCTTAAGCCTTTAACATTAACTAATGATTCGTTAAACAAGCTCGTTTTACATGTTGAACACTCCGTTTGGCATACTATTGACGATCAATATCGCAGTTGATTCTTTCAATAACGTCACAAATTTATGATTTAGTTACGGTACTAACTTAAATTTGAAGGATCCCATTTTGCTGGTTGCATTTTTCAGCGTTGTCTGTGTTTGCTTGCTTCGCACTTTCTTCAGTTGGTCCTTTGTGGTCTTGTACTGCCTCACGTTTGGAGATAGCATTTGTCCTTCCAAAAAGTCGTTTCTCAATTTGCTCGGCCTCGACGACGCTTACATTCCTGCAAATCAACTCAATAATTGCTACGCGAAACTGTCGCAATCTGACGGAGTAGATGACCGGATTTATAAAGGAATTCAAAAGCGCCACTGTCGCGAAGAAAACGAACACTGTGTATGCTGCGTTGAGTGATATTTCATAACGATACTTTGGTAAAGTCATTCTTGAAACGGTTAAAGGTGTATAACATATTAACAGCGTTCCTAGAACTATGGAAGTAATTTTTAGTGCCTTCTTGTCTTTTTCAAATTTTTCCCTCGCCTCTTTCGTAACTTGGTGAGCAGCAACATGCCGCTTGTGTCGATTGGTTTCGCGGTATACTGAAAGATGGCACAAAATGGTGAAGGAAACTATCACGATCTGACATGTAGTTTTCATAGTGAAATACAGAGTTTTTCCAAAAATAACTGAAATCTGAAGAAATATGGAAAGAAGCCACGCCAATGTTGAAGCAAACAGTAAATGAGCTTCGGTTACGATGGTGTCGTAGATGAACGGGTGCTTAATCGCCAGATAGCGCTCCATGCTAATTAATGCCAAGTGTGTTAACGAAGCAGAAACCAGACAGCCCCCACAATGTCTAAAAGCGTCAGTCAATGTACAGAACCCGCTTTTGCTTTGTACGACTGTTGTTATTATTGCGATGAATGTTGGTTGAAGAATCAAACCAACCATGAGGTCGGTGGTCGCAAGTAAGGCCAGTAGGATGTTGGATTTGTTAGCTCTTAGCCGAGGTTTCTTCTTCATTGCGATTATTAACAGCGCATTCAAGATAACGGTGATGGGAGAGGCGATCGCGTTAATGACTGCACTGAAGATAATTACAGCTTGTGTTGAGTAGGAAGGCTGGTGAAGTCGCCCACCAGAGAGAGTATGAAATATGCATTCAGTCAGAACTGTCCCGTTAAGTGACGTACTAGAATTCATATTTAGCTTTCTATTCTTCCTTTCACCTTCTCCGTGTGTGTAACAACAGTGGACTTGTTAGATGGTCGATCTTTTTTGTTTTAGTTTGCTTTTCCGTAATTTTAGAAACACTCAAATGAGCTTTTTTGTTGTTGATAATCAAGACCACTGCAGAGATTTGTTTTGTCTATGTTTTGCTTTGTTGTGAGCTCAAAACTCTTCTAGTCACGATAGCTTTTACGACTATGGTTTCGATAGTTTAATTGTACGGTAAAGGAGAACTTTTTGGCAGGGAATCCCTATCTATTAGCGCTCATTCTATCGATTTAGGGTTGATTTCCACTGTCGCGTAATTTTTCCGTGCGAACGCTCGTAAATTTTACGCGCGTAAATCAAAATAGAAAGGGCGCGCGTTAACGTAAAAGTTTGGCGAGGTTCAACTTTTACGTTTACGCGTGACCTTCCATACATCGCCTCTATTTTATTTACCCGCGTAAAATTTACGTGCACGGAGAAAAATTGCGCGAAAGTGGAAATCCACCTTCAAAGTATGTCATAAGTACACGCGGTCTTCAAACGAAAGGCCTGGGGCGAATGTGATGCTCCTGCCTTCGAGAGCCAATTCTTCGCGGTCTTCAGTGTTGAGGTTTAAGTTTTACGGAAAAAAAGAAGCAACAACAACAACAGTCCATGTAGAACGCTAATTATCGCGAATAATCTTGTGACATTAAGTCACTTTATCTGTAAGATTTCCATGACTCTGTGGTATGTACTCGCTGCTTTTTATAAAGTCGCGGCGTTTGCATTTTTGATCAGTGGAAATGAGTATGCAGCGGAGATAACATCCATCTGCATATAAAACAACCATTTAAGCCAAAACAGAACTAGTGCTTAGAGTTCCACATTTTTTTTTATTACGTATTTTCCTTAGGGTTGATTTGCAGTGTAGCGAGGGGGACCATAGTTACTTTATTGTAGGCTCTCTGTCGGAGACGGAATATTCATCCAATTTTGTTTTCAAGTTTTATTAACTCGAAAGAAACTCAACAGGCGACCAAGCGCTCATTGGACATAAACGTTATCTTTTGTTTCCTCCGTTTAGTCGACGTTCTCTGTACTCATTCCATTGAGAACGTTGGTCCTGCCCACTCGGCTGCCACCACTGAATTGCGAGAGCATGGAGACGAATTTACTGCGGAAGATTTTGATGGCAATGATTTGACAGGTGGAAACTTAAAACTGCTGACCCGCAGTCTTAAGGCTCTGACACGTGAAGATAAGCCGGAAGAACTAGACGTGGCTCTGGATGTGAGGCCAACTTTAGTTCAGGCATCTAATCTCTTGGTAAGTAGGCATTAGATAAATCGGGTAGATGTAATCACGGTATCATGAAATTTTTGTTCTTGGGCCTTTGTAGCTTAATTTTGAGGTAACTGTGGTTGTGTAGCAAAAACGGTCTTTGATTTTGATCAGAGTTCCCGGTGAGTACTTCTTGAACAGACCAGAGACCGATGGTAGTAGTGTGGATGTTGTTGTTTATGATAATAATAATGATGATGATGATGATGATGATGATGATGATGATGATGATGGTGGTGGTGGTGGTGGTGGTGGTGATGATGATGATGATGATGATGATGATGATGATGATGATGATGATGGTGATGATGACAATGATGATGATGATGATGATGATGATGATGATGATGATGATGTTGATCATAATGATGTTAGTGATATCGATGATGACGATGATGATGATTGTGTTGTGTTGTGTTTTTTTAATGCTATTTAGTTCCTGATTTTTTCCCTCTCCCTTCAAAGTTTCGGAGAAGTACTTTCAATTACTAATAGTTGTTCCTTTTGATTTTATTTCTTTACTTCTTTCTATTTCAAAGGAAAAAGACGGAGAAACAAATAAGCATAGATTCCGTTACTTGTCTCTGGCTGTTCAAGGTGTTTTCGCTGTCCGTAGGGTGCGAAGATTACAGGTAACAAAACTATACTTAGGGTACGTTATTTGTTACTAGCACTACTTTGCGTGACAGATATCACAATAAAATACAGATCCTAACCATTAGCAATTCATAAACTTGTAAAACAGAGCCTATTTAGTACAATGAAGTACCCATCCTTTCTGAAGGGCAGGGCTCACTGTGGGGAGGAGCTCTACTGAAATAATCTGCGCCAAATTTGGGCTCTTGTCTGCGCATGCGTCTTTAACATCGCAAAGAGTTACTTCCTCACTGAAGTGAATTTTTTGTGGACCATTCTCTTAGTGAATGTACTTGTCTTACTTTAGTCATTAAAGGCATAAGCAGTGTGTGGTGTGTATTCCACAAGGCAAGGCGGACGCTTGTTTGTAGCGGGGCACTATTTCGAGCATTTACAGTACATGCCAGGGGCGCCAGAAAATATGAACACCTTTGTGTAAGCGGAGCTAACCTCATTTTGCAGTAACTGGGTTAAAGGTATTTTGTGTAATGCTTATTCCTTTTTCAGGGACATATGGATGCCATTCTTTGCCTGCAGTTTGACAAGAGAAGAATCATAACAGGCTCTGCTGACCGCACAATACGGTAGGCTCAACTTGATCAACTTTGGCCTTATATAACAAGAACAACAAAAGAATAGACACTTGTTAACTCGATTACGCTCAGTCTCTTTCTTTAACTTTATTCATTAGCACGAGAAGATGGTTGGCAGATGAATGGTCCGTTAGTGTTCATAAATTGCTTAAATGTTAATTTGAAAAGTGTAAAATCAACAATTTTCAAATTAACATTAAGTAATTACGCTTCGCAGGAATGGGATTTTAATCTTTGTAACCTTACATGAAACTTAAACCCATCTTACATAAAAAGCTGTCTTTTCAAACCACGACGGTGAATAGCCCATTTTGGATTTTACAGTTGCAGACTGAAACAAGGTTGGAGTTGACTATATTTTGAAACAACCCCTCCTACTGTCTCATGCAAATTATGTTAATTGTTCTTATGCTAACTAGTATTTTCAAGCATAATTTCCATAAGCAAACAAAGGTGTTTTGTATAAAAGCAAGGTCAACCTTAGCCCTTCATTCACACGAAGGCAAGGAGACAAGCCAACAACTGTAAAATGGTTAGCCTGCAGTGCAGGCGTATTTTGGGCGGGCGAAAGCTGCTTGTTTATGTTCGTACTTGTAACCGCAATCTTTGTTATGACGGAGGAAGATTAGGGAGAGTAAAAATATTAACCCTAAGGGTAGGTGTTAGGGCGTAAGAAGGAAAGAGGGGAAGGGAAGAGGAGAAAAAAAAACGCCGTTTTCTCTTGTCACTCCCCGCCCCCTACCCCGCTCCTCTAGACTCGCCCCATTTTCTCCCCTCTTTTCGAGTTTCAACATGCGATTTCGCGAGCAAAACATTCGCGCGCGCGAAGAAAACGCCTGCACTGCAGGCTATAAAATGGTCTATTACCAAACAAGGAGTAAAGGAGCATAACCTTTGCTATCTGTGGATTGACGAAAGGAGACCCTTACACAATATAATTGCTTCTAATACACCACATTATATTTTTGCGCTGGTGGTAAAAAGTATCAGAGAGGTGCGGTGTTTAAGGGTCTGGTCAATTTTTTTCCTTTTATTTGTCAGAGTATGGGATGTTAGAAGCGGACGTAGCATTCACAAGCTCAAAGGGCACAAGGTAGTTAATTATTATTTTTTCTCCAATTTCCGGGGTTACAGTATTATTTTGCCTTTCCTTATGAAAAGGAACTTTGTACAAGTGTGGTAGCGTGGGATCGTTGTTTTCTGCGCAATTGCTTATGAGATTGTTTGGGACGGGCGCGCATGCGTCAATAACAAAACAGCTTTTCATAATACTGGGACATTTCTCTCTCACTTAGGCCTGGGTCAGGGTGTGTGACATTTTAAGGCTATTTACAAATGCATTTTTCGCGCCGAAAAAGTGGAAGAAAGTTTAACTGGTTGAAGAACGTTTTGAAGAAGGTAGGCAGCCATATCGAAAAAAATCGAAAACTACATTGAAAGTTTAAACGTGCTGTGGCACTTACTAGTCGCCGATGGGTGCCCAGGGATGATGAAGTCTTGACAAAACGTCACACTGGAGGAGTTTTTGAAACGATATGTGCACAAAGTCGGTGGAGTAATTCAAGATGGTCGCCCGAAGTTCCTGTCCTTTCAGACCATAAAGCCCTGCGCGCTCTTTCTAGATCCCAGGCTATCACTTTTCTTGTAGGAGAGCGTGTATTAGAGTAGTTTGACGCATCACTCCTTAGTTTAATGTTTTGAAGCTATGAACACAGCTCTGATTATTTGCAGGGTGGAGTGAGGTGCCTTCAGTTTGACAATGAGAAGATAATCAGCGGATCATGGGATATGACTGTTATGGTTCGTATTTAACTTCGCTTCGCTGTAGTAAAGCTTTTTGGGAGGGTGGTGGGGAGGGGGGGTCTGTACACAGGCTATAAGAGGATTGAAGGCACTGGTAATAAGTTTTCTTTCATATTGTATGCGTGCAATCATTATGCATACACAAAGTTTTCATAGGCTCCTCCATGCACGAAACACTTACGCAATGGGCGCATTCATTGCTATTTGCTGTTGATAAACGTGCAGACTGTTCACAGTCCCTTATTTTCTCCTAAGATGGTCGAGATAGAGCGCTTTGCGGTACGGGCAGCCATCTTGGATTAGCGTCCTCCGCCCCCTAAGTAGATTTGACACTCATTCAAGATGGCTGCCAGTAACGCCAAGCACTCGGTCTCGACGATCTTACGGAAAAATAGGGGACTGAGAGCAGTCTAAAAAACGTGTGTTTGATATATTATTAGCCTGAGAAGTGGTCCGCTTGTGCGAATTCGATGAAGAGTTTGAGAAGAATGGGCCCCCATTCTTCCGCGTGCTGGTGGCTTCGACGCCAAAAATTTCTCCAAACTCAGGCCAAAGCGAGCCTGCTCACAGGCTAGACGGTATATTTTGTTTTTATGTGAACTTGTAAGTCAGGAATAACGAACTACAGTGTACCACATACCTTTTAATTCTCATTATTTCCCATTGCAGGTGTGGCACATCGTAAAATTTCACCGAATCAAGGTGCTTTATGGTCATTCAGGATGTGTGTCTTGTTTACAATTTAACGACGACATTTTGTAAGTGTGGTACCCTCCCTGATCGAAACTTGAGCCTTGTAGAATTGCTTAATCTGTAAATCTTTAAGTAACAGGATCAGCCCATTTCTCGAAAGGCCCAGTGTCACCACTGAACTAGCCTGTGTCGCAGGAGCTTGTAAGTAATGTGGGCGGAAGAAAGATTGGGACGCGCGAGGGGGACACGCGTGCTCTCCTCGCGCGCCTCGTTCCTTCTTCCGTTCATATTACTTACAGGGGCGTAGCCAGCTCTTTGACTAGTTGTAGACCCGGCTGACTTTCATTTCCACATATCTTGCAAATTGCACGCATGACTAGTACGCACTAACCTCACCAACGCTTTGAGCTCTTAAGCTTTTTAGCTCACCCCAACAACGCATAATTCATTACAAGCGGTAGAGTGATCAAACCAAGGATTTGTAGGCCCAGGCCTACAGGTCTATGGGCTGGCTACGCCCGTGACTTACAAGCGCCTGCTAAGCAGGCTACGACTAAACATTTCTCTTTTCCCCGTGTGCTTTTTCTATGTGACTAATCAGAACTCGCTTATATCTCAGTTATTTTATATATTTGTAGCCTCAAAATATGTATTGGTTAAAAAACGCTTCTGAAAAACAACTTATTTGCTTTTAGAGTTACCGGGTCACATGACCGTACCATAAGGATTTGGAGTACAGCCACGTGGGAATGTGAAAGCGTTATTGAAGGACACGAAGGTGCGAAATAATTAGTAAACTGAAGGACAGCGACGAGTCAAATAAGAATATGCTGTAAATAAGAGGTTGTTGTCGTTTAAACTGACAGTGGTTTCGATATTTAGGTGCAGTCACGTGTCTTCAGTTCAATGAAGAGTATATAATTAGTGGCTCTATGGATAGGTAAGGAATATTTTATCAACCCCGCCCCCTCCCTCCAAACTCCTTTGCGGCGCCAGTGTTGTCCAGTACTTGAGAAGAAAGACTACAACTGAACTTGTAACAATTTTAGTGCACGAAATATGAATTAGCCAAACATAGGGTATCAAAGAAGAGGCAAGCCTGGGGATAGAATCCTCTGTCAGTGTAATAGTGAAATCAGAATAAGTGCTCGTCGGCCCTTTAAACCACAGCACTGTTACTCTTTTTCTCTGGAGACATGTTTGGTGCCATTTTAAAAAAACACTTTTCAACTCAAGTTTGATTTCGCTTCGTGAGAGGTTGAAATTACGGCTACTTTCGTATTTTGTTTGCGCCATAGCAGCAGTTAAACCCAAACACAACCTTGGCTAGCACTATGTTCGTTAGCCTGCGAAAATAGCTGTTTCTCCCAGCGAAACATCTCAAGCGGCGAGGAGCGAGGAGAAACGGCTGTTTTCGAAGGCTTAATGTTCGTCCACGAATTGCCAAAATTGCAGTCTAATAGAGATTTTTTGGTCTCTTTGTGTCGTAGGACACTAAGACTTTGGAGTCTAGAAACGCGAGAGTGTCTTCAAACATTTGTAGGACATAAGGATGCCGTTCTAACCTTAAAGGTAGGGGCCAAACCAAGATGATGAATTTAGTTAGCTGATTCATGACACGATCCCCAGTCTCTTAGTTTGAAGGTTAAAGCGGGGACAGCGTTCGCCGGCCGAACGCAAAAAGAGAGGGGTTTTTCCCAACCAGAACGGCGTTTGTCCAAGGTGAGTTGGGCCAAAGTTTTTGCCGAAGGACAATCCGCTTTACTCTTCTTGCAAATAAAACCATCCGTCCACCTTATAGCTCAAATGTATTTCTTTTGCGTCCTTCCTTATATTTTAGCTGTTATTTTGATGTTTTTTTTAGATTGTTTATGGCTATTAGATAAGCCAGCTTTCTTGTTAAGGTGATCTGTATAATTTTGTCTCAGGTGCTTGGTAACCTGGTGTTTAGTGGTTCCGCGGACGGCATGATCTTTTTCTGGGACCTGGAAACTGGAGAATGCCAGGTTGCTATTCAGGCTCACGAGGGTCCAGTCCACTCGCTTGCTTACAACGAATATCAACATTTCTTCTCATCAGGAGGGTAAGCCAACCCATAAGAAGAAATTTTTGTTAATACATTCTCCCTTTTAAATCCTTATCTATATTTAGCTTGTGGGCATTCACCCCCTCCCCTAAGGGGCAGGGGGAGGTTGGACACAGGCTACCTTATATTTTGACTACTGGGTAACCTGTACACCATATGAATGGACTTTCATATCTCGAACTTGGGCGGCCTGCGTCTAAAGTACCTCTAGTTACTCTGTGTGCATTTTTTTTATAAACAGGGACCATTTATTGAAGGAGTGGGACATTAGCACGTGTACGTGCCTGAGATCCTTACAGGGACATAGAGGCCCAGTTTTCTGTGTTAAGGTACGTCAATGTTTTTCGCAGACTGTCTATTTTCTCTTAAATAATAGGCTCCTGATTTTATAGCACTTTTTCCCGCGATAATAGAAGCTCCGCTCCGTCTATCAGTGCATTCGAAGTATATCAAAAGGAAAACTAAACGTCATTAAAAGGTCGCCAATACCATTTTTCAGTTCTGCGGGTTTTGCGCATTGGCTCGTGGGTCTAAATTCGCGCCAAAATCGTTCTAAAAACAAACTCTTCTGTGGAACCGCCGTGGCATGAGTAGTTAGACGTTGCTCTCTCTCCCAGTAACGTCTTTTGGTCTCCCTTGCTGTTAGGATTAAACGTTCTCAAAACATGTTGTCTCAGCGTATTACTGCCACTGTAGCGGTTGCAGTTTGTAGTAGCTGCAGACTCCTATCCTCGATCACAAGAGACTAACTTGATACTATTTCTCTTCTTTTCCAGGCCCTCCCACAAAGAGTGGTCTCATGTTCTGCTGATGGTTTCACAAGGATCTGGGACCTAGATTTCCCGGATGCTAAGGTGAGTAGCCTAACATGATTGTGTACGCGTTGAGTTAATAGGGAAGCTTAAGCAGCAACGTTTTGTGCGACGTACTTCAACCAGAGGTGAGCTGTTTTTCTCTTTTATAATGCCTTGACGCCACCAAATTTGTATGGCTAAGGTTCTTTACTCATTTAGGGACGATTTGCTCAAACGTTTGTTCAAAATCACGGCTCAAGTGTGCAAAAAGTCCACTTCTGGTTGGCATGCGTCGCTCAAAAACGTCGCTGCTTAACTTCCCTACTAGTCACAAACGACTGAAGCCCCTTCTTTTGTCTCTTTAGGGTCAAAGCAAGAACATTGCGGTAGAAGAAAACGTTATCACGCCGCACACAATTCAACAAAGTGCACCAAAAAAATGATTTAATTGACGAGACGACGACAGGTGCAGAATGGACAGAATCTAGGATAGAGGGGGGAGGGTAGGGGAGGGTGGGAGATAGGGTTGTAAAGTATAGTAGTATATTTAAAAGAGTTGACATCTGTTCGTTTCACAAAGACAAAGCTATAACCTTTGAATTTTATTACTAAATAATAGTTGTAAAGTAAAAGGATTTTTTATTGATGACGAAAAGAATTTGATGCTTTCTACAGAGTGTTTTAAAAATAGCATATTTTACTCGTCATTAAATGTATATCAAATATAACCACTTTTGGGTTGGTTCTGAACTGTGTATCTTGAACCTCTCTAAAAAGAGTTTCGGAAAAGAAAAAAAGAGCGGTGTTCTTCGGTAGTTTGTTAAGGAGGTCAGTGTAAGTTCGTAAGAAAACGCTCACCTACCCCTCCCTCAACCCAAGATTTTGCGCAAAGTAAGAAGTCATTGTTAAGTTAGGGGAGGGGTGGGTCTGCAGACTTCCAGAATCTTCTAAGTTAAAGCCAATTGCCCATATTACAGAACCTGGGAGGTGCTCGTATTATGGAGGTGGGGAATGTGTGACTTGGTATTTAAATTGCACTCAAGAATCGTGATTGTCTGTGATAGAGAGGAATCCTTACGAGGAGATTCGACTGTAATGCACCTATCAATGTAATGCCGGCGGGGGAGGCAGGGCATGGGGTGGGGATTTGATTGTCTTTGTTGTCCCTGGGGTAGGGCATTTGACTGATCTTGTTCTCCCGGGGGAAGGGATATTTGAATCTTTCTTCGCCCGACGTGGAGATATTTGACTGCCGACTCGGACGAAAAAGACTGAGACCGAACATATGTTTCCCGCTTCCACGCTTTACGCATGCGCCATACGGTTTGAAAGGATCAGGAAGTCATGGAGGCCAATGAAAACAAGCGAAGGCTAAGTGGATTTCACTGTTTTGTCTTCAAATTTCGTTTGTTTTAGCGTGTTTTTGATCAATTGAACCTCTTAATATACTGTGGTATCAAAGTAAACGGAAGTAAAGAGAATCCAAGTTGATTTTTGCAAGTACAATTGATTAGTGTATGGCTCATTCGCTACAATCACTGTAAACTTATAAAACTGACTTTCTTTGTACCCTTTACTAAGAACGGTATATTTAGACTTACAAAATGTGGACTTTCTCCGAAAGGTTTATGTATTATACGCAGTGTAACACGGATTATGGTTAGAACGTATAATTGCAGCTGTAACAGGAACATTTATCTTTGGTGATGTGCCTTTCTTAGGTTCTGCCTTGGGATTGACAGCAATGTGCAGCCTGGGGTGGGCAAATTTGGTTGCATTTGACTGGAATGATTTGCCCGTGGGCAGGGAATTTGATTGCAAATTTTTGAAAAAAGTCAAATCCCCACCCTATGCCCTGCCTCCCCCCCCGCCGGCATTACATTGATAGGTGCATAATCACTGCCATACAATGAACTTGAGAATTTTTATGCCGTCGTGTTTGAAGCAAAAAAGTTGAGCTATCAGTCCTTCACTTACCCTGACTTAAGTACTCGGCCTGCACTTCCTGATAAGAAGAATCACATAGATCAAGCATGGGGCCACTCCTTTTGCAACGGTGACACTGACTTGAGGACTGAGAACGAGGAAGGGAGAAAAGAGGAGGAGTCACTCCCCATTCTGTCCCAATTTTCCACCCTTTTTCTTAAACGGGACAGTGATACCTGCGAAGGAGGCTAAAGCATAGCCAATTTAGAGCCAAATTAAACATTACACGGTCATAGGGTTGGCTTTCACGCCTTAGGCTAACAATGTGATATCATCTCGTACTAGCAGGAGAAGCTATTCATAGTAAAGTTTCCGCGCAGCATGATTCGTTTGTCTCCAACATCGTTGGAATAACTAGGTCTATTTTACTAAGATAAAGATGGTGCTAAGAAAACAGCTTGCTTGATGGGTGTCATTAATTGAACACCTCTGAGACCTATCTATTGTAGACAGCAGCCGAAACCAGTTGTCAACAAAATATCTTGAAAGGCTTTCACTTTATACGGGTCGTCAGTTTTTATTTTAGTGGATTGCTTTCGCAGACTGATTAACGGTTAGAGCCGTTACCCGACAACGCAATTAAACATACAGCGTTTTAAAACAGAGAGAAGTGGTGGGTTCGCGTCAAGTTAAGTGCAGTCTTCTGTAGTGTCATTAATCTTTATTTGGGTGTTCAAGAAATTATAATTTGATAAGACTAGTTTTTCTCTTTCTCGCCTGATGTTGCAATCATCAAGATAATTAATCACAAATGCTAATGCATAAATATAAAGGGCATGTTTCCTTAGAGCGAACAATGAAATAGATCCCTTAATCTGCTGACAGTATTGTCCAGTGCCCTTTAATTAACAGTGGAACTGATTTTTGCAAACAAATGGTAATTTTATTCGGGGTTTCTGGCAACTAAATTTGTAGCAACCCCGTATGAAGAATACGACTGTTGAAACACCCTTAAATTGAACTGAGTTTGGAACCTTTGCATATAATAACGAGCTCAGTGGTTTACACGTTGCAATATCTCAATAAGGTAAGGTAATAAGCCTTTTATTAGCTCTCCATGCCGGAAGACACGGGAAAAACTTGACTGATCGAGTAACACATACAGAGGTCAGTACGAAAGATCTGCTTACGGAACCTAAAGCAGCGCTTTTTCTCGATGATTAATGCTGATCCAATGGAGACTTTTAAATGGACCGTTTTAAACCCTACAGAACCAAACTGAGAAATCGTGTAAGTGTGTGGGGCCTCTGAATGATTGCATGACCGCCAATAATTCATTTATGTACTCTTACGGTAAATGAACTTGCAATTTGGAACATTGTGTCGGCTTTGAGAGCAGGATTCCCGATGTGATAAATATAATATAATATGATATATAAAGGAGAAAAAAACGTCCTCATAATATGTTTTTTTTAGCGATTTTGCGAAGTTGTGGCGTTGCATGATAGAGCGCTGTATTGGCTGAACAACTTGAATGAATTATTAGAAGAACACCTCATTTTGTAAAGCAAATAACATATTGCGATAATTTAGAAAGACACGAGCCGAAGGCATTTACAGCATTTTCGCCTTGCACGTCACGGGCACAGTTTTGCCAATGCGGTGATCATGTTCAGTCGCGCACAAGGCACTACGGAAGTCGAAGTCATTCAATTGAAACGGCTCTTTTCGGCTACTATGAGTAGGTTGGTTAGAACACAACCGAATCGTCCACTGCACTTATCTCAATGATTTGAACAAATGTGAAAAACTCGATTTACTGTACATGTTCCCCCACGGGAAAGGGCGCTCGCGGAAGTACAATGACCTGAAAATTTAAGGCCTTTTCATCTAAAAACTTGTGGTCGAGAGATAGTCAAGCGCTGATGTTGTTGAAACCATCAACCTTTTTGTCAATCTATATTGAGACCATAATTTATGTATATTTTATGTTATTCGCTGATTTGAATTTGTCGCGTTCTTTCAGTACTTTTGCGCTCAGCAAAGACTGAAAGACCATGGACTGTCCATGACCTGCAACGTCCAAAGAAAGTTTCCTCGGCCTCTACTGAAGAAATTTTATCATCATAGTTACATCCTAAGTTGTATCGAAGAGACTTTAGGAGAGGGCATTAACTTCGTCTAGAAGAATTCCAATGGAAGACTGCTCCCCCTTTCAGTGTTAAATATCTTAAAATGCTGCTTTCTCAGCGTAAAATGAGTGATAAATAGAAAAGCCTATAAAAAGGTAAACAAAAGAAAACCGACATTTTGAGCTTTTATTATATCAGCATCCCACATGCGGCAAACAAAAACAAACTTTGTTTATATTCGTGAATATTAAATCTTTTAATGTTCTGAATTTAATCTAAGGCCATGAATATCGGTTTTGTCCAAAACAATGAACTGATCGAGATAAAAGGATAATGGAGATTAGGGCAGTATCGTTCTGGTTAAACATGAAAAAGTCATTAGAATAAAAGAAGTCTATGAAGTTTGGACGACAGGGAATTTCTAAACTGGAATGTACGATAAGAGATAACAGAAGATTTGCAACGTACAAGCCTCAAAACGGATCGGGACTAAAAAAGATTGCTTTTTCACTAAATTAAAGATTACTTTTATCAGCCGAGACGTCATATCGCAGAAAACATTCTTAGTTTAGTGTATTTGTATTCGTCATCGTGAATCAACAGGGTGACACAGGACTTAAATTTCAGTTGACTATCAACCCCTTAAATAAATGTGCACCCATCCCATAGTTGACCACACCGCACCGGGGTTAAGTTCCCTACTCTTTACGAACAGTAGCGTGGGTCCTTTAAATGTGCCACAAGAATCAGAGAAGTTAGAGCGCTGTGCAACGAAGCTTACGGTTTTCAGTTGGTGTACAGTAGCTCGGAGCCGACCCAGGGGGTCAATTGAGACAATTTAATAAAACAAAAAGTGTAATTCCCAAACTACTAGCTTTGTTTTAGAGTCTGAAAACAATTACCCCAGTCGTATATTGTCGTAAATTATACCATTATTTCAGTTTTACTAAATTTTCTCCAGGTCCCATTAAACTTAAGCAACACTTTTAGCATGAGAACGATTAGAAATTGGAATGAACGGTCCGTTAACGTTAAGAAGGTAAAAAATGTTAAATCCTTTAAAAGGAAATTGTATACGAATTTAATTTCTAACAAAGAGAGAGAGGAAATCTTGAATATCTTTTAAATATTTAAGCAGCCTTTTATAATAAGTCTGTAAAATAATAAAATAAGTAAAATTTTCATTTTACTTTTACTTGTTTTAGTCCAGGAGTTAATAGTTTTTTAAATAGTTAAAATTTTTAAATGAGACTCTCGTTAGTTTTAAAATACTATTTTTGTTTGTTTTTAATTGTCTATTAATGTTAATTCAGTCTTATCTTTTTTTGTATATAATGACATTGTAAATTATTTTACTATTTGATTTTATGTTTTGATTTTATGTTTTATAGTTTTATCACAACTTTCACGTGGTTACCCTCTTTAAATAAAGGCTTTACCTTACCTTGCAGCCCAAGAGACAACAACCCCTTTATAATTATGGTCTCTTGTGTAGCCTCATCTCCAACATAAGGCTGGCTACATGGAGATGTTTTATATTAGTCACTTCTAGAAGTGTATTCCGTGGGATTTTATTCGCGATGGTGACTATCGTGCAAAACTAGATGAAAACTAGAAGCATAGTTTGAAAAACAAAAATACCGAAATCTTCTTTACTCTCAAAGGTTCTTACACGAGTCTTACTCCTACTTCCGAACCGCCCGATCCCTTGAACCACCTGTGACGTCATTGGCTACCGCTCATGGCCCGAAACCCAGGAAGTTGTACTCACAATACAAAAGAGCGCGAGTGAAGTTTACGCCAAAGAATTGCAAAGAAGGCTTTGGATAGTTTTACTCCTCTTTTTCTGTCATGGTAATGGCTTAAGGAGTTTCGAGTAAGCTGACGGGGACGCACATACTTGTATATACAGTGCATAAATCTGATAGGTAGCGTGGCCGCACATGGATTTTACAGTCGGAAGGCCTCGGGCCAGTCAACCAACTCTGACCTGATTCCTAGCCTTGTTTGTTCTCGGTAGTCCCGAAGCCGGAGATTCGATATTATTTAGCTTGCTGGTTTGTCCTCCTTACCAAGTTGAGATTTTTTCTTATTATTTCCGGAACTCAAGTTTATCATTTTCGGCCATTTGTGCTGTAAATACTGCAGGAGATAAATACAGGTTACAGTATTTTTTCTTTCTGACCGCAAGTCTTCGATCATAGGGTTATAACGTTCCTATACGTACACAATTCAAGAGAACTATTCTTGAGGTAATAATATCCGATATTGGACCAGAACGTGCTCACTTTAAGTCTAATTGAGCAAGCACGGACAATAGTCTCTAAGGATTACTTCCATTATCATTTAACAATGCTGGTTTTAAACACTTTTATAGCCGCGATTTCAACCTCGAGTCGCCAGGCACGTATTGTTTTAAAAGCGTGGGTCCACGGGACAATAAGAACATTAATTACGCAAGGTATCATTACAATAGTTTCTATGTATTTTCTGCCGCCATTTAGTCGCCTCCGTCTTACTAAAGTGTACAACCGTAAATTTTCCAAACCTTGAAGTTAGGTTCATGATCATTTCATGACTTGGACATCTGGAATAAGTATAGAAATGAAGTCTTTTTCCTCAAGAGGCTTTATTGGTGGGTTTCTTTGAGCTATGTAAATGAATTTTGAAAGTGGATTCAAAAGACAACAGTTTCAACGTTTTCCCTTTATTTGTTTATTTCATTTTCAAAGTGGTTTTTCACTCGGCTTGATAATTTGATTTCAGTTCCTTTTTCTGAGAAAGAAAGAGTTGCTTGGCCGGTCGGACGAAAAGAGTGCTCGAAAATCAAATAAAACGATCCATTTAATTATCTTCTTCACGTCCGCCTCAAAGCAACTTTGCGCCTTTGTTTAACAAGTAAATAAATCATTAATTTTGCAATAGCAATCGTCTCAAGAGTTCAAAAAAGCGAATGGAAAAAACCTATTTTTAGTTAACTCGAGTTGTGAGATTCATTTAGGCTGTCGTAGCTGGAATCTTGCATTTTTCTACGAGGCCCACTGCGATTTTCTTGCTCTTTGCAAATCAGCTCAAGATTACACAATGTGATGCAAAGATGAAAAAAAAAAGCTTCGAGATGCCTCTCAATACAGGAGACAAGGGAACAAAGCGTCACTTCAGGAATGCACGTTAAAAAACCACTTTCCTCAAGCTTCTTTACTTCACTCGTGGTGCTAAAACGTTCGACTGCTCGGCAATTCTATCTCTGTTTACTTAAATTGCGCTAATAACGCATAAACGAAAGAGTGAGTAACGCCTTAAGGATTACAATGCGACAATCGAAATAGAAAAATCCGTGACAATCGCCCAGTTTTCATTCAGAGAGCCTGTTTTCTTTTTTGCCGCGTAACACTTCTGAGGGTTTGTTGACAAATCAGCAGGAATTTGGGTTTCGTTTTCGCTCTCCACGAATACTTATATGATAACTCATCAGCTAGTATCTTTACAAAAGGCAATTATAACAAAGGCCTTAATTGTTACATCCAATATCAGGTGTATGTCGGCCCGCTCAAAGGAGGACTGCTAATTTTGACGTAATTTTATGTTTGTTTGTATTTATAGATGTAATCCAAACAACTTTTTGCGCGTTCTCACAAAGCAGTCGTAATTTGCTCCTCGTTTGTCAGAAGCAAAAACCGCACACTTGCAACTCGTCCACGTCTTCAACCCAAAAGGTCACTGACCATCATGTACGAGATCTCGTTCGTTGATGATGACCAAGAAGATTTTCGAATCCAAGAATTGCTGGGCGAGGGGTCTTTCGCTCAGGTGTATAGATGCGTGGAAACCAAGTCACAAACTGTATTCGCGCTGAAGGAGTTTTACACAAGGCATAAGGAATATGACGAGAGTGCTGTTCAACGGGAAATTGAAGTGTGGTCGGATGTCATTCACGAAAATATCGTGCGATTATACGCTTCTTTTACTACGGGATCCTATCTGTACTTTGTGTTGGAGTTTGTGGATGGAGGAAGCCTTTTTAATCACATGATGCAAAGACAGAAGTACAGCGAAAAGGATGCTGCAAATATTATGAAACAGGTGAGATTATCTGACTGATAAATAACATTTCAGAACATATTTTCTCTGAGAAAACAGGCCACTCTTCTCAGCGCTCAGAACATAGTTCCGAGGTGACCTACTAACTATGCTCAGGGCTTACACTCAAATTTGACTTGACAAATTTAGAAAACTTTACATGACTTTTTATATTTGGAACGATCTGACTTTCTGTGGAACGATCTCACAATAGAGTGGAACGATCTGACGGCATGGAAAAAACCAACCGATTACGTTTTCTCAGGCTAAACATTTTCAATTAGAGACATTTGAAGTGCACTATGTAACCACTTGGCAAATTTTCATCCTTAGAAAAGAATTCTAAAAAAATTGATTTAGCTTTCTCTTTTTGCCTTCAAATGTTAGCCAAAAAAATTACTGTAGAATCAAAAGAGAAGAAGAGGCCGTAACGCGTTGCACGTGGATTGATTTAGCAGGAATCTGCGGGTCAACACTAGCATCATTGTATAACGTGTTTTTTTATTTGTATGCACATTCACTGACAATGCATTTGCTTGGCGATTTGATTTAAAATTCTAGGCTCATACCTTAGCCCTCTCAAAATTCCTGTTTCTGGGGATGGCAAAATTAAACAATACAGAGCGGAAAATTTATCAGATCGCTTGGCTATGACAAATATGTACCCTGATCCTCACTGACTCACTACTTGACTGAAGACGGCTAAGATACTTAAAGGCGACGTGAAAAGATTCATTTAAAGCGCAGTATTTGGGAAAATAACCCGATTTAAGTCGCGCTTGGAATCTTCTGTTTTGGAGATCGTAGTGTATCTTTTTTATTCATCTGTCGATAGGCAATTCAGAGATTAATTCTAAACATTCCATAAAACAACAAAGCCACTTGAAATGACACAGATAAAAATACCACACTGGGCAAGATACCAGGGTATATTTGCTTTACCATAACGTATGTTGTCAGTGTTTGCCGCTAGTAATGGCATATATTTCAATTGAATTGATAACTTCCATAGGGTAATTAACTTGATGACCTTATACATCTTCATGCTTTATATAATAGAGATTTGCAGATACTGACAAAAAAGGAACTCGTCTTTCTGATCAATCTACTGAGCTAAATCATCTCTTGCCACGAGTTTTCAAGACGTTTTTCAGTCAGGGGTGGTAGGCCAGCTTTCAGTTTTTAAATCGGTAACTCGCATAAAAAAAAAAAAAACATCCTTGTGTCATCGATCCGTTCCATAATTTGTAAGATCGCGGTCCAGTGAAGTAAACAAGAACTGGCAACTTTCTTGTGAGAAGCAAACGCACGTTTTGTGGCGCATGACATGGATTGCGTCACGATTCCGGTGTAGCTTATAGACGGATTAACGACGCATCTGAGACATAATACTTTATGGATACTTTATCTATCTTCCGCTAACGGTTTTCTACATTATATCAAAATCTATGGTTAATTGTGATTCTAGGGACGCGTCGCTCATGGTGGTCTTTGCTAAAGAGATAACTATGATGCCTGCATGCCCTCTCTCATGTCCTCGCTCAAGAGCGCATTTCTCTCTTGCCTCGCTAAAACCTGTTGAAAAACCGGTTCAACACTTCGGCGTTTTTAACCTACGGAACAGTAGGTATGTATGCTTTGTCACCGGGGATCAAATTGTGAAAATGAAGACGGTCATACTTCCGGATTTTTCCCCACAGCCTGACTCATAAAGGAAGCAGAAATTGGACAAAATAAACTGAATTAACTCTCGGTAAGGCGACTGATGTACCCTCGTTAAACTGCACTATTAAATGAATAATACATGGAGACTTTTCGCCCTTCTTAAACGAATTGACGGCACTGTCACAGGCGAGCTTGCCTAATTGTTCTCATTGATTTATTAGGGTAGTTAATAGTTTAAAATGGTGGCAAGAATATAATTATACTTTCTCTTTCAAAATGTCCGAGTGAGAGTCAGTTCTTGTCCCCAAGAAGAGCTCATTTTTGGTCATGCGCATAGTGACGCGCCTAAAGTTGCAATCTTGGACTCTTGGACAGAATAAAATGGAACAGCAAATTCCCATCCCCCCCCCCCCCCCCCCCAAATCAAGGATGGAGCCGCGCAAAAGCCAAAAAGCGCCATTTTCCCATCCGAGCTATCGGGTTGAGTTGCCTCGCGATAAGCATGAACTTATATGCGTATACCAGTCCTTTGGTACCTTTATCCTCTTCGAGCTGCACTCTCGAAATTGAGTACGCTTTAATGTGCACAGAGAGTCAACTTGCTCCTAAGTGGGGGAGAGTTTGTTTGGTTGTTACCTGTAAAGATGTAACGATCTATCCAATATCAACTAACATATTCCCGTAATTAACTTACTTATTTTCCATCAGTTAGTAGAATTGTATTCAAGGCAGTTTATTGTATTAAGTCAATTTCCGTGTTCCTAGCGTCAGTTTTTTTAAAATATTACGAAGTCGTGATTCTCTAGCGTTTTAACTGGATGCCCTATGACAATAATATTTCAGGGACACTGTGACTAATTTGCTTAAGCAAAACTAAAGCCGGTGATATTTTGAAACAGAACACAAACATAATTTTTTTTCCAGCCGCTTGTTAATGCCGTCAGTTTCTTTTAGGTAAACAGTATTAGTTACTTCCAAGGTAGCTTAAGAATTTTTGTACTTTCCCCATAGGTTCTGGAAGCCTTAGTGTACCTTCACAAAAAACGTATCGTTCACCGAGATGTCAAACCTGACAACATACTTATCAAACACGTTCCATCTGCGACAGAGAAATCTACTCCACAGCTTGCTGTAAAGCTATGCGACTTCGGATTCGCCTTTACGCTCCCTCGTCACTCAAACGTCATATGCTGCCCTGCACGTGGTGCTCCCATGTTTTTGGCACCAGAAACGATTCTGGACAACCCTATTGGTTGTCCTGTGGATATTTGGTCCTGTGGCGTACTGCTTCATTTGTTGGTGGCGGGCTATCCGCCATTTTGGAACGATAATAGTGAGAAAATGTTATTAGCTGCTGTTCGGGGTCAGTATAGTTTATCCAGCCCAGTGTGGAACAAAGTTTCTCGATCATGCAGGGACCTTGTCAAATCCATGCTAACTGTACATACATCACAGCGAATCACGGCTTTAGAAGCTGTAAGACATCCTTGGTTCTTCAAAATGTCGGCTTTGGATTCGCCCCGCCCGAGAAGAAAGCACAGCAGTGCGCTTTCAAGCAGTTCTCGTTTCACAGAGAAACTTAAGTACACCATTAACGAGATGCACTCCAGCTTGAAAATGCAGCGTTTAGGTTTAGACCCTTTGAAGGGAAAATTCTTCCCGCTGTATCATTCAGCCATGAATTTGTCCGAGGTTGGCCGAGTAACGACCGTATAGCTCTAGTAAAACGAACACACTGAAAAATCGTTACACTTAAGTGTCGTTTATCATGACAAAAATACCTGGGCTACGAGCAATGTATACGTATGGATCCAACCTTTTTAGAAGACGCTTTCAAATGTGCCCTGATGTATGCGATTCAACAGTTTCTAACTTGGAGCTCTTTACGGTCACTGAACGTTGTGTGTGGGACAAATTTAATTAAATAAGAACGCATTGCAACAAGGGAAGGTCCAGGTTAACAGTGGGGTTACTCTTAGCGCTCAGTCGTCCTACCCAGCATTAGCCTTCCCCGCGTTAGCCAGTTCCAGGCGTTTAGATCGTGGGGAGCAAGTTAAATAGTACGTGGCGAGTGCAAAAAGAAAACACGAGGGAAAAAAAACGAGGGGAGACTAGGGCGGGAGCGGAACGGGAGCGTTTTCTCCCTTTTCCCGCCCTATTTTTTCCCTCGTCAATTTTTTGCCCGCGCCCCACCATCTGAACGCCTGGAACAGGCTATCTCCGCTTTCGTCACGCGTCCGTGGGTGACGAACCCCTAAGAAAAGGGGGGGCTACCCTGCATCTTCAATAACCTCACTACTCATTCAAAACAAGCAGGGGATGGGAACAAGAATTCTATCATGGCCTCATGATTTCTTCCGCCATTATTTAGGCTCACTCTTTATTCTTTATATAGATATCTCATAGCATCGGGCATCATAGACTTGAAGCAGACGTTCTTTTGGCTCGTCACGCACTCCTCCGTAACAGGAACGCGTGACGTAATCCTAACAACGTCTGCGTGAGAGGTTATGGACATCAAAGAGGAACACTTTTAATGTTATTCTGCCTGGAAACCTCTCTTTTCAATATATTTTAGAGAGATAAAATAAAGCAATTCTCAGCTATCGATTTTGTACCGACTTTACAAGGAAATATGTCTGTGGGCAGGTCTTGGTATAAGAGTGCAGGTAATAAAAGTATATTTCAGTAAACAAGGATTTATTTTCTATGGGATTCGCAATACGCTCTTCAATGAAAGTAAGATAATTTATCATTACTTGTTTCGTCAGAACGAACGATAATGCATGTTTCAGCTTTAGCTGGAAGAGTCTTAGTTCAAATACGAACACTTTTACATTAAATACATTACGTCGCCGTTATGAAAAAAAGATACATAGGAAACAGCGATTACAGTAAACTTTAGGTTGGTACCAGACTCCGCATTTACCCCTCTGCGGGGCCTGGTCACACGCTAAGTAAACTTCAATGAAGTAATCATACACGTATCTGTTTCAATTTTTATCGTGTCCTTGATTTACTGGCCTCATGAAAATTTACCAAAACCTATGGAATATACATCCCGATTGAAGGTTTATACATAAGGGTTATACATTTAAGATCTAAATATAGGTAAAGAAATGGTATTATTCATTTCAAGGAAAACTCTGGTATATTTGCATCTACACACCCAATATAGATTGGCGGGTAGAAAGTGCCAGGCGCTTTTGTTGTTTTAGTTTAGCTTTAGGTAAAACTGGTAAGCACTTCTGCAGTGCCTTGCCTGAAATGTTTTCTGGTGTCTATGGCAAGAAGCACTCACGAGCACTGCAACTCGCTTCTGAAGGGAATGCAGGGTTTTCCAGAACATTTTGTTGGCTAGAATTCATTTATATACTGATACAAGGGTGAAGGTAGAAAAAAAAGGAACAAAAAAGTTCCCTTTTTAAGAAAGAATGCGATGGAAATATTCGAACCCACAGATCATCTTTGCTAAGATCTCAGTGGTACTTAACTTGCTTGAAACAAACCTTTATTTCTGAAGGATGCCTTTGACTTAGACTTTTCTTTAAGTCCGTTTTGCTTTGTCGACTTTGCCACTCAGGAAAAAACAATCCACAGACAAAGTTTACCCAACCAAAATCTTTCTGAAACATGGATTTCAATTAGCAGATCAAGACATGAAATCCATTTTGGATTTTGCATTTGCTTAATCAAAAAACCTAAAAATGGCCTTTGACCAACTTTTTCTCCTGATTTTACATGAAATAGACAGATTTGGTCGTTTTATGCTGAAAAGTGGATTTTTTTCAAAAAGCTTGGTACTTTGCTTAAGAAACCTATAAAGTCAGAATTTCACAATTATTTAATTGCGGATTTTGCAAATGACTGCACCCCAACAAACAAAAATAACACCAGCACTCTTGTACTATTTCTCATGTTTAGAATGAAAGAGAAATAGTCAAAAATGCCACACATGAAAATCTGGAGCTGCAAGATCCCCTCATTCCCAGGGCTCCAGGAAATGGAGAGAAGAGAGGGCCCGGGAACAAGTTTGCTTTGCTATATAGTAATTTAACCATGAAAACACTGGCCCCACAAGAATCCCGTGGGCATTCTCGCCGCAGGCAGAGGATATTTCCGTTTTCATTAACTTTGTAGTAACAAGTCACCTGCACAACCCTCAAACCCAACAAGAAACTATAGCAAAAAAAGACTGAAAAGTTCACAGCTACTTTATTTCAAATTATTTTTGTTTGCCTTCATCTTTAGGTTTGCTGTACACATAGGTGAGGCAACATTTGCCACAGTATTGGCGGTCAAAGTGGTTGGCCATGAAAACGCCAGCCCCACAAGAATCCCCTGGGCATTCTCGCCGCAGGCGCAGGATCTTTCCGTTTTCATTAACTTTGTAGTATTTCAGCACTGCCAGCTTGACCTAAAGGTGGAAGGAAACATCACGTTTACCCCTTGAGGTTTATGATCAGAAACTACCTTTTCCACACTGCTTTTTAATAATTTATTGCATGTAGTAATAATGCGGAAAGTATGATCACAAATCCGGACATGTTATCTAAAAGGGATTGCACTTTTGTCTGTTTTGTTATTAAAATGATCCTCCAGGTACTTTTTTAAAAAAGGAGCAGAATGTAAAAACAACAAAAAAAGAACATAAAAGCCTGCATTTCTGTGGAATAAACCTTCACCCTAAATGAAGCTCACAACAGCTTCTCATGGGTGTTTTTAGGTTTGTCACAATTTTCAGTAACTTCTGTTCTTAGAGAAGACAAGTTAGTGAAGTTAAGTTGTGGGTCCCTGTCATCACATGGCAGATTTAAGCTGCATGAACTTTGGCCAACTATATCTGATTACTTTCCCAGGGTTCTCATTAAGTGCCAGTAACTGGTTAAAAACCAGCTACTTTGAGGTCTGGGGCATCTACTGTTGGAAGAAAATGGGAAAAGTGAGGGCGTGAAAGCCTCAAATTGCCTACAGCATACCTGTCTACTCTAAAACGTAATGAGAACCCTGCTTTCTAAAGTACAAGACTATGGACAACTTTAGATGATGAATGTGCAATCACTAAAAGCAAGGCACTTCCATCTTAAACAGAGCATCTCACTCACCTTCTTCTTCTTATGCTTGATTTTCTTGGGGGTAGTGTAGTTCTTCTTCTTTCTTTTCTTACCCCCTCCCCTCAGACGAAGGACAAGATGCAGGGTTGACTCTTTCTGGATGTTATAATCACTGAGTGTTCTTCCATCTTCAAGCTGTTTGCCAGCAAAAATCAATCGCTGCTGATCAGGAGGAATGCCTGACAAGGAAAAGGGTAAATTTTTAATGCAAGTCTTGTTGCATATAGAACAACACAATATCATTAGTACACTGGACAAAACTGTTTTGGATCTGGATCGATGTGTTATTATTTTTCCCTTTTGAACTTTATAAATTTCAGACATGGAAAAATATTTTCATGTTGATCTCGCAAGCAGGACTTGTGTTACAGCATATCCAAACTTGGTAACAAAATCACAAAGGTACATGTATGCAAAATCACGTCATTTCTAAGAAAAAGGAATCACATAACGAAGCGTCATCGTGACATGTTTGTGGATGTTTTGAACAGCACTCAACCAGAAATTGGAGGGAAAACTTGTTTACAGTCTGCAAGTTATTTGACCACTGAAATATGGCACCTTCCTCCGACTTTCATCGTCTCAAAACTCTAGCTTCTTGCCAATAAATCGGTCTTTGACCTGTTTTGAAGATAGTGGCCTGTTGCTTGCGTTTCATACCAGCCACAAAATGCTGAGCACTGTGTTAAAGTGTAGTCAGCCAAGAACTTCAGGCACTGCTATTTCGGCCTCTGGAATAGTTGCTGGACCTTATTTCTCGGCTCTTCTCCCTGGAGCTTGCCATTTCCTCACATTCTGTTGCACAACAGCTTGAAACAACTCTGTTGGATTTGCCTTGTGGCCCTCCAGTGATAGCATTGTAACTTGAATAATTGACTCTCTAAACTGATGTATGAAAGGATTATAGTGCTGTATGTCAATGACTCACTCCAAGTTGCTCAACAACACTTCGTTTTCAGTGAAAAATATTTGAATTGTTTTTTTTAGAAATCACATGATTTTGCGTACCTTTGTGATTTCATTACCAAGTTTGGATACACTGTAACACAAGTCCTCCTTGTGTGATCAACATGAAAATATTTTTTACGTAAGGAATTTAATGAAGTTTAAAGGACAAGATTCCTTGGCGTATTTTGTTTTTGTCTAGTAAAACATCAATCCCGAAGAGTTTTGTCCAGCATACTAATAACACAGTATCATTATTATTAACATCAATAGTCAACTTCGTTGTGCTGTCACACAGTGGATCTGGGACTTAGATCACAAAGTGCAAAATAAACATTTTTAGTTCTGTAAGGAGTACATGTATATAGCCAGCACGGATTATATTATTGAGATGTAAATTGTTATCGAAGTGTTCAGTTGGCATTTGTAAAATAACTGAGATAGTATGCGCACTCTGATTGGCCAAGAGACATGTTTGCAAGAGAGTAGGCAAACATGGTTGTGATATCAAGATGTTTTGCTTTTCGTGTGCTAATCATGCAAGCATAACTTTGATAAAGCTCTTGAGTTGAAAACTTGACAAGTTTACTTTTTTTACCCATTTCCTTGGCGGCTGAAAGTTGGAAAATCTTTAGAAGCAAGACTTTGTGTACAAGACTTTGCCACTGGGTAAGAATTTCTCTTTTAATCAGTACCATAAGAAAGAGTTTGGAATATTTTCTCGGAAAAGTTAATTTATAAAAGCAATAGAAGAAAACTGTTTCCCTCTATTTGCATAGCCTGATATAAACACTCAAGGGGTTAGGAGAATAATTATTCTTAAAAGTTACGCAAACCCAAGATGAACATAACTGTCTCAAATTCTCCCAACCCTTCGTGTGTTTATACCAGGTTATGCAAACATGGAAAACATTTTCTATTGCTTAAATATACAAGAGTGCACCTTTCAAAGCATAATCTTATTTCAGAACAAGGAATTCCATCACCATAAAATTTTGTTTCTCATGGAAATAGAAAATCAAATTTAAACAACATGATTACCGATATTGAGTCTTTGATTTTGGTCTTTGCTTCTGTTTGTTTGGATGAGTAAATATTATGTTCAGGCAACTATGTTTTCAAAAATACCTGTTTGAGAGAAATGCAGGGCTTGAATTAATGGCTGGTCAATGGACAATGTCCCGTCAAAAATAGGTTTTGTCCAGTCAAATCCTTAGATGACTGGACATTTTGTCCGCTCTTTTATGCTTCTAATGTAATTCAGACCTTCACTTTTTCAAAATACGATAGGTCAAGATTGGACATTATTGATGTTCGTGAAGGAAAAAAAGTGGGGGCAGAAAGAGAGAAAAAGGTGACCAGATCAAGAAGCTGTAAACCATTCATAACACAGGGCAGGGTGCAAAGAAAGTCATTTTTACAGCTTGCCATTCGGGCAAGCTGAGGCTAACATTTACTAGCCCAAACATCATTTCAACTAGCCCCAAAAACATTTTGATGAGCAGATTGATTTCACAGTTCTTCTGTCATTTGAATTTCTCAAAAAACTTCACTTGCCTGTTGGGCAATTTAAAAACAAAATTCCCTAGCCCAATAACAAAGTCCACTAGCCCCGGACTATCGGACACTTCTTTCTTTGCATGCTGACAGGGCCTTTGATAGGTCGCGGAAAAAAGTCAAATTTGGTGGGATTTTTAGAGACAAGTTTGCGGAAAAAATGGCTGATTTTGCAGGAAAATTTTGCCAAAAAACAATCATTAAAAAACAACAATTTTGTGCCAATTTTTGTTTTTTTTCTCTTGGGGCAGGGGGAATGTTGAGCGGTAGCTTGTGCAATAACAACAACAACAACAGAAACATCGACTACTTATAAATTAAAATGTTGCCTTTTTAGAACTGGTGATTTTGGTTTTAAAGCCCCCATTTGCTTTAAGATCTTGTTTGGACTTGGTTATTGTCTTGCACAAGGTTTTTTTTATCAGAGATCTTCATTTGCTCTTTTAACAACAATGAGCTCAGAAATGCACCAATGGCAAAGCTTTTTATATCATGCACTGGCCAGTGCCCAGTTTTTTGCAATAATAGTCTGAGAACACCTGGTAGTTTTGGGCCGTTTTCTAGTTGCAATGAGAAGTTTCAAGATACAGTACAGCTCAGAGATAAGCGACCAACGGACATGCAAAAGACATACACATTTTCTGCATTAACGCAAAATTGTTAACTAGTTTGAAAGCCCATTTTTAAAACTAGCTTTCACTTTTGTTATGCACTGTTTAATGCTTCATTGTTTTCGCTTTGTTTTCCCTACCCTGGGTAACTACATGTATAACGGATATAAAATCGAGAACAAGCTTAGCCTATCAAGTATCAAGTTGAGGATAGAGTTTTGCAGGACAGAAAGCAAAAGATTCACCCAAAACTGATTTCTTGATAATTTTACATAGACAAACAGCTGTAACAATAAAATAAACAAGAAAATTTTAGATTATAAATTTTAGGTTTCTTGAGTATACTTTGTTGTAATTATTATAGAAAGTTATAATTGTAAGGCGCATTTGATAATATTCAGACGTTAATTTGTGCCTAATAAGAAATAAATTATTATTATTATTATTAATATTAACACAACACGGCGCAAGCGACTGTATGCTCAAAACAAGACAAATTGCAGTTATAAAGCGAATCTTTCTTCCAGGACATCTATATCAAGCTTCATTTCTTTTAGTATGGTTTCAAATGCCTACTCTAAATGCAAACAAACAGTGTATATAAATAACAGCATGTCTATTCTGTAACGTCAAACAATTCTGGGCTTATCTGGCCATCAGTGGTAACAAGCACATCCGTCTGTAACATGACCAATCTTTGGCTCTGAAATTGCGTTCCTGATCCTTGAAAACTTTCGAGAAACAATGGTTTTTATTCTAGAAGGAAATATAGCACATTCTTTAAATTTTGAGTTAATCTCTCATAAAATTGGGCTTGTGTTTTTTTCGCGATGGAACTTGATACACATGAACTGTTTCATTGCCAAGCTTATGACTGCAACTGATGACAAATTGTGTGATGTTTCAAAAGTGGATTGCATTGCACCAGTCTATATAATATTGCTTTCAAAGCTCTGAACTTCTTGGAGGTTTCTGAAGTTTTCCGAAGCTTTATATGTATATTCAAATCAAACCTTTATATCCACAATCATGTCTCACAAAAAGTGAAAGGCGAAATATCAAACTGAGATGCTATTCTGAATCACGAAACAGCAATTCAGGTACAAGCAATGTTTCCAACAAAAAACACCCAGACTATAGACACCGATGACCAGAAATTCAACTGTGATAATGCCAATGGACATTCACAAACAGGCAATTGAAAAAAAATATCGGCAAGTTGAATTTGAAAGACAAGCCATAAGAACAAAAGCAATGAGAAGCGCCTCGAGACTTTGCTTACACGCCGTTGATCGAACATTTATTTACACAAACTTCCTTTAATTGTGGATTTGACAGATATAAAGTCATCGATTGTTTTAAAGTTCAACTGGTGAACTGACGACTTCTGCTATTTCAATGATGCAAAACACCGTTCAAACATTTCTATTAACGTTTTGACGCAAAGTATCATCCGAGTCATGTGAATCGATGCAAATTTCCTGAAGAGTTGTCAACTGATACTGTATCTTGAATTTGCATACTTCAGGAATTTCTTGCAAGAATTAAACAATGAGTAGATTTTATCATTTTATAGAGTAGAAAGTTTTTTGTGACTGAGAGAAGCTAAAAGATTACTGAAAAATTAGTCTTCAAGTAATCTTGTGTTTGTTCGTCTTTTGTTCTACTTGGTATTGTGAAATCAAGCAGTCGATTACTGTGTATAGAATTGAAACCCTGCTTCAGTCTTTTGCAGAGTCTTGTAGACGATGTTAAGCCTTTTGTTGCGGCTGTTGCGACAACAATAAACCAGGAACAATAAACTAGCTGATACATACTAATCAGTTCTAATGCAAGCCTGTTTTTGAAGCGTGTTAGTAAATGGACTTGTGTTAACAAACTTCTCGCTAAATAGTTTGCGCGTTAACGTGGACGGTTATCTCTCAGCTGTACTGTACATGTAAATTTGCAAGTTTATGGCAAAAACAGCCCCATTAGCTGAGATAAGTCTCAAATATGTTGATTCTGACATGTATTTGGAAAGACTTCTACTGAATTTCACGGATTTACCTGAATTTCCCAGCTCTGCGACTGTGTGAAATTTCAGAAGCACTTGGCACCAGGGCAGTAAAGGTGGTTTTTCATTTTCTGGGATTTGCACGATAAAAATTATGGCTTTGTCCTCTATAAAGTTGTCACCGGAAATTCAGGAGAGTGTTTGTAGTGTTGTAAAGTATTTTTATAATAGTCCGCATGTATTTTACTGTAATCCTAGATGAAAGACATTTGTCTGGCCAAAAATGGGTTGTGTCTGAGCAAAAAAAGGTTTGTGGTTTGTGCCATCCGGGAAATTATTTCAAGCCCTAAAATATTCAAATTTTTTTATCCAAATTATATTAAAATCTTGTACAGAACAATCATTGTTCTGTACTAGATGTTAATGTAATTTTGCAGGGGAACCTGAATAAGTCAAAGATTTCCATATGAGTTCCTAATGCCTAGTCATTTATGATGCAACCAACATATTTTTGTCAAATCGCTAAAAAATTATTTTACATTAAACCAGAGTTCAACCTACCCTCTTTGTCTTGAATCTTTGTCTTTACATTTTCAATTGAGTCACTAGGTTCAACCTACAATAAATCAATAAGAGTATACAGTCATGTGGAGGCATGTGTGGCTCAGTGGTTAACATCTCAAACTCTGGATTTGGAGGTCTGGGGTTCAAGTCTGGCCCATCACATTGTTTCCTTAAACAAGTAACTTTACTTCACTTTGTCTCCCTTCACCCAGGTGTATAAATGGGTACCAGCAACAAACTGCTGGGGGTTAACCCTGCGCTGGACTAGCATCCCGTCCAGGGGGGAGTAGCAATACTCCTAGGTGCTTCATGCTAATGAAACCAGGATAAGCTCGGGCTGTTTGGGCCTTTGGCTCGTTTAGTCATAACTTGTACAACTTGTCAGCAATGAAAGAGACATTCCAAGCAACTACGGATATTTAAAAAAGACCTGGCACACACTGCCAGTCCAGTGTGTGCCTCTTGATCTGTCCTTGATAATTATCAAATGGTCATTACAATGATCTTAAATGCCTTCCAATGACAGAAAAGACAAAACTGTTTGGGTTGCAAATACAGAATATACAGCATCTTGAACGGTAAGTTGCTTGGTGGCTCACAGGCCATGACAAGTGTTTAAAGAACAAGAAAGATAAGTTTTAGATAGAAAGCGAGGCAGATATAAGTACAAGTTTTAAAGAACAAGTAAGTTTGCCTTGATTAGGGATAATGAGTGAGACATGATCACCAATTTGAAAAGGGAAACTTAAAAGTTGGAGATTTAATAGCTCTACAAATATGGTTGATCCCAGCCAGGGTAAACTTGAGATAAAATTCTGGCAAGACTTCCATAAAGCCCCATACACTGAATATGCGTACATGTTTCGACTCAAGTTAACTATTTGTGTGAAATTGCTGCATGCATTATAAGTTTTACATGTATGGGGTTGGAAGGAAATTTAACAGAACAAAGTTTTTCATTTTAGCCTTAATGTCAGTAAGTTAGCTTAAATGTGTACGGAAATAAAACATCCTTGTCATAGCATTACTGCGACGTCTGTACGGGTCATTCCCTCTGGTTTACGTACACTAAATCAGTTGTAAAAGCGTTTAATCTGAACGCACGTGTCACCAAATAAATTACACTAACCTCTAAAGTGATCGTTTTCCCAGTCAATGTTTTAACGAAAATCTGCATGGTGGCTCCGCTTCAAATTTCCTGTAGCAGAGAAAATCGATCGATGAGAAATTACACGAAATATTTTTGCTTAAATATAACGAAAAAAGGAGTACAGATGCAAAATTATTCCTTAAATTTCGAACCTTTGCAAGATGGCGGCAGACCACGAGAAAGAGGAAGATGAGGGGTGGACTCGAGGTTTAATGCAGGACTTTCAAGCCGCTGGTCAAAAATACCGTTCTATCAAACTCATGCCCAATCTCTCATCCGGTTCATTTTCAGCCTGAGTACAGAAGACACAGGCTACTACTCATTTTAGACATCCTACCGACGAACAGTCACGGCTTTTAGATTTTTTATTTTTTAGACTTATAGATATTTCGAGCAACAGCAATTTGCCGTCTGTCCTCTTAAAATTTATTTTTGTTTTCTGTGTCAGGAGTCGATTGGCTCCTGTCTGTGTTTAAATTTAATTTCCGCATTCTTGATTATAATGTTGCTGCAACTCGTTACTCCAGACCATAAACTGCTGCTTATAAGCTTCCCCCAGTTATCGTCCAAATCTACTACAAAAAATTACACCCAATTATCAGCCCATTCCAGATGTAAGCCCCCTTTTTTTATTCCGAGAGAAATTCATAACCACTTTTCAAGAACTCTGTACTACTTCAAAAAGAAAATTTGTGACGTGATTTCGAAACAATAAGTTTACTACTTCTTTTTAATTATCAACTCTTGATATAACTAAAGCTTATTGTGAAATACAGCTCCTGACTGTAGTACTGCCTTACTTTACTCATGCTGTTATCACTGAGTCAAACTTCCATAGTTTGATACGTTTCGTGTTGTTAACTCTGTTTCAATTTTTTTGAAATAAATTCGATTTATTACGACTTTTTGAGACTTAATCAAAAACCAGTAAAACAAATTTTGCTCAGCACCCCTTAATACATGCTTCATATAGCTCAAAGCGCTTTTTCCTATTCTCTCATGTGTCTGGTTGTTATGCACCCAAGGACATAAGCCACTGCATTTCAAAGAAGCCCTCCGAAAACCCCTTACGAAGTTGCCTTAGCCTAGGGCTTATAATCGGTATTTTACAGTATATGAAGTAGCTTTTACGTTCTTTCAATAATCATGTGCTGCAGTCCTGAACTGTCTCGCTTGCTCTGGCCTCGTCTACTGTCTCTACTCTTCTTGGGTCCGCGTTGTCGTCCACTGGGAAAGCCCCAACCTCGTCCCCTGGGGACAAGGTTGGGAAAGCCCCCTTCTAGGAGCAAATTCAGAATACCCGTCTATGCGTCACGGTTAGGAACCCATGGGCTCCTGGTCAAGTCTACTTCTGCGGTTCACCTTCACTGATCGCAATACAGAATACCATGGGCCCAAATTGCCTCTGCGGTCTCTGACGTCATTGGGGTTTGCTGAATTTTCTGCCCTTGTCAGTGCAAATCTTGCGCATCACTTCTTTATGGGCGCTGTTCACAGACATGGTACAGAAATATCGGCGTTTGTGATTGTGTGCTGTTGTTATTCATACTCGGTTAAAGAATTTGACAATCTTGAGGCTGATATCTGAGACGGTGAGCATCTAACGAAGAGATGATGTCTTAAAGGTAAACTTCAACGGTTGAAATTACGAATTCTAATAACAGAATGATGCTTTGATGCCGAGACAATTTTGAGACAATTGCCATTTGCATCTTGCAAATGTTGAGACAATTTCCTAGCCAGCACCTGTGCACAAAATGCAGTTACATGGCGCGGATAATAAGCTACGGATGGAAAACCTTGAAAGTCTTAGTAAGCTCACATTATCAACCTAGTAGATACAAGTTTTGCGTAGTGCAAAGGCATGCGGAAAAATGTAAAGCTGTAGTTTCGGCAGTTTTTATCAACGAAGCAAAACTTGAATAGGACAACAATTGCGATATCTCGAAACACAAATTACTTTTCGCCGTTCTACATCGATTTGATTGGAGTAAACGTAGTCATTGTGTGAAGTGACTTTTTAGTTCGTTTTTGTGTGCAGGAGAGTCAATTCATGCTGAATGTATAACGAAATAACTTATGTTTATGTACCTCATTTCGATAGGGTTTGATTATAAAAGTTCCATCAACTTCTGTAATGAGTCAGTACTGACATATTCGCAGCCCTATACATAGTGAATCTCCAAATACGACAAAGGTTTAAGATTATACTTGTAGCCCTAATGTAACTTAGGAAGTCCTATTGCATAACTGATTTAAATAGAAATTCCTGCTCCTTCTTCCCTTTGATTTATCATGAATCAAATCACGCATTATGCCGGTTTCTTTGACTTTTACCCGCAACTTTGTTTATCAAAGTCCTTTTCTGGGAGACTGAGACGAGGAAGAAACTAGTGGAAACGTTTTTACTATCATGCACCAAAAAGAACAACTGCTGAGTAGTAGTTTGCGCCTTAATTAAATGAAACGTCTAGATTACTGATTTACACGAATAAATTATGCATAACGCATCCAACTGTTCACGGTAGCTATTTTCATAAATGGGGTATATAGGAATGTGCCGCTCTGAAGAGTATGGTTTTCGAGCAGTATAGTCTGGTATAGGGTGTAGGAATGAGAAAGTGTGTGTCTAGAATAGGGTATCATTTTCGAGAAAACTGATCGATTGATTAAGGATTAGCATGCGA